TGGTTATTTGATTTGGCCGTGAAACGTCATCTCTTCAGATGAGAAGTTACACATATACACACACACAACCTCTAAACCTACCCATCACACACACACACACTAACCCGACCCCTAAACCTACCCATCACACACACACACACTAACCCAAATCAAATAACCAATCGGAGGAGAACCCTTCTAGCCAATCAGAGGCGAAAAAGGCGGTACCTTCCCCTACCATCCTGGGAAAAAAATATATCGCCTGCCAGGCCAAAGTTTCAAGTGTGGTTTTTCCGCTCACAGGCACCAGGGGGGGGCTAGACGGCCACCATTCAACCCGAAAAAAGTCATATAACCATTCCAATAACTCCGAAGCTGTTCAGTTAAGCTAAAAAAAACTGCATAGTTCCCCTTTAAAAGTTTACTAGGGATTTCTGGGTGTTTGCTAATTGGTCCAAATCGGTCAAAATAGGCCTGCATTACATTTTGGTCTCTAGTCTAGATATGGCTCACTTCGTTCAATATCTCTGGGTGGCAATTTAAAAAAAAAAAATCTATCTTCAATGATCAGCATGATTTTAGGTAGCATTTTGGTATCGTTTATCCATGGTTTAACAAGCAACCCCTGAACCTGTAAGTATTACCCATGGTAACAGTGAGGTTTGCCTTAGCAAGCACAAACAAATGACACAAAAACACAAGTAATCTGCAGTGGAGATACTCTGGGATATTTCAAGATTTAACGTAAAACTCCACAGTAAAAATTGAACAGACAATAATGAAAAACGAACAAACAATATAATAAAAATAAAGAGCTTTTTTCTTTTTACCCTGTTGCTGTGGTCCTCTGCTCGCGTGTATAGAAGCCAGGCACCTGTTTGAAGAGATCCAGGCTTATTTGCAAGTCACGGGTCTGTCATGCAAATGCACAAGTGTTAAAATGCACATTAAATAGTCGGCCATCTAACAGCATGACGCACTAAAGGAGGCGTAGCGCTTGATTGACAGCAGAGTTTTCAATACTTCTTTCAGCCTCTCTCTCTCTCTCACCCTCCCTTCCTCCCTGCCTCCATATCTAAGGGCAACAATAACCTGGCAACCATTTACATGAGCTTGATCCTCTGGCTGAAAGCACTTGGCGAGGCACAGACTCATTGTTTCATTTCCTTTAGACGCGTGTATCAGTTGGACAGCACAGTCTTGCAGTCGTAAAAGGTTCAGTGATGCTCTACAAATAACGATAATCATTTATGCTCAGAAATGAGTTTTTCATCTTAAAACATCTAAATCAATAACCGAGTTTATAATTCATCGCCTGGGTTAAACGAGCCCCTTCACTTCCATTCAACAATTATCCCTCCACTTTTAGTGCTTCAGGAGCTGAAGGACTTACAGCAGATGTTATTCATTCAGATGAATATTATATATATATTATCACCTGACCAAGAAACTAAAACTAAAAAGAGGAACTTCATTAAAGATCACAGAACTTTTGTAACCATATCACAACAGCTAAACGCTACACCAAATGCAAATGTCCTCTCCCAGAGGAACAGGCTTTTCTGTACGGTGAAGTAATGTGGTAAATGCTTTGCATTGCGCCTCTCGGCTATAAACTTCTCTAGAATCTTCTTCGGTTCTGTGGATGCGCTTTATAGCATGCTGAAACATTTGCAAGTTATAAAACCAAACAAACATCCTCTGAGAGAGTACTAATGATGACACAATAATATGCAGATAGATAATCAAACATTTACTTACCCTCATATTGTTCCACACCTGTATTACTTTCTTGCATAGAGTACAAAATGACTGATTTACAAACATTTCTAGTCACACAGGTTTATAATTTTAATGTCAATTTTCTGTGATTCCATGCATGGGTTGGTCTGAGGTTTACAGTTTAAAAGTTACAGTTCAAAATTTGACGTTAAATTGACCAAAAATGACATTAAAAACCTTTATATTGTTACAAAACATTTCTATTACAAATAAATGCTGTTCTTATGAATCTTCACTAAAGAATACAGAAAAAATGTATTACGGTTTTCATAAATACAACCTGTTTTCAACATGATTTAATAAGAAGAAATGTTTCTTGATACATTAGAATGATTTCTGAAGGATCGCCTGGAGTGATTCTGAAAATTCAGCTTTGCATCACAGGAATAAATTACATTTTAAAATATATTACAAGAGTAAACCGTTTAAATTGTAATGATATTTCACAAAATTATCGTTTTTACTGTATTTTTGGATCAAACAACTGCAGAAGAGACCAACCAACCCCAACAATTTTTGAACGGTAATGTATATTTTTAATGTCAAACCGCTGTTTTTATAACTCTTGTCTTTAAAGTTAGGTTTATCAAAACAATTTTAGGCAGAAGATTTTATGTAAATGTGCTCTTTTGCTCAGAGAGAGTGTGATTGTTTTTGAAACACACTTGCACGCAATGTTATCTCCGTGAAACAGTTATAGACATCAGCCATAAAACACAAAGCATATGCGAGACGGTCAGCCGTATTATAGCAGGCATATTTCACTTCACTTTGGACTGCTCATTTGATAATCAAATGCAACACTTTTCGTCATCCACAAAATAAGCCGAGGGAAAAGGCTTGGGAAGACAGTGTTTGTATCAGATATACACACACTAACACAGACATCTGCTTTTGTTTAGTAAGCACAGCACACAAGCACAGCGACTTGCTATTCCACAAAGTTATCGAATGATTAAACCCGATTAAGGGCTCATATCGCATGTGTGAACTCAACTCTAAACAGCATCTGCACTTGGGCCAGAGCCACAGAGCTCCCTACAGACACAGCAGGAAGGAGGTTACACCGTGAGAGAACACACACACAAATACCGCAAAAAACCCCTCATTCAGTTATGTTGAAAAAGCAGATACCAACGTGTACAGTGTAGGGTTGATGGTGTTTATGGTTTTTTTTCAGGTGATCTGTTGTGTTGCTTGTTCTTCTCTTTTTTTTTAGACACCCCATCTCATTTTGGAAGTGCTGTAAACACCTTTTATTTGTCTGCAAAAAATGTATATGGAAAACATGGGATTGATTATTTATAAAGTACTTGATGAGGTGATAACGGTGTCACTTCTATGTAAGAATACTTTCTGTTTTTAAAATATATACACTACCGTTCAAAAGTTTGGGGTCAGTGAGAATTTTATTTTTATTTTTTGGAGGAAAGAAATCAATACTTTTATTTATCAAGGACAGTAAAGACATTTATAATGTTACAAAAGATTCTATTTCAAACAAATGCTGTTCTTTTGAACTTCCTATTCATCAAAGAATCCACAAAAAAAAAAAAAAAACTGTACAACTGACAGACCAACAACTGTTTCAACATTGATAATAATAATAAATGTTTCTTGAGCATCAAATCCTCATATTATACTGATTTGTGAAGGATCATTTGACACTGAAGACACTGACACTGGTGATGCTGAAAATTCAGCTTTGATCACAGGAATAAATTACACTTTACTATATATTCACACAGAAAACAGCTGATTTACACTGGAAAATTATTTAATACTATAACTGATTTTTGTTGTATTTTTAATCAAATAAGCGCAGCCATGGTTAACAGAAGATAATTATTTTAAAAGTATTTAAAATCGTACCGACCCCAAACTTTTGAACGGTAGTGTATATATTTTTTAGTTTTATTTATATGAATAGTTTTAGATTTTTCAGTTTTAATTTTAATTTTAGTTTATGCTTTAGTAATTTTATGTGCTTGTCAACTTTATTAGTTTGTTTTGTATTTTTCTATTTAGCATTAATTCGACATAAACTTCAGTTAGTTGCCAAAGCAATATTTCTAATTTAAGTTTAAATATTTCATCTACTAATTATATTTTATTTCACCTTTATTTCAGTGAGTTTTATTTTTTGTTAACAACAATGTTTCCAAACAATGGATAACAAGATTGCGTTATCATTATCGTTATTTTAGCACTTCCGTTTGTTGACAGTCAGTGTTCATCATGAATCGAATATCGAATCTGTAAGATTGCTTTTATTCAGCAGTTAAATAATTTTTTTTTTTATATTGAGCAGTTTAAATGTTATACACAATCTTGCCAGTTACTGTATGTATTTTTACTTTGTCAACTATTTGGAAAAATATTTCCATAGAAAGGCAAAGCAGAATGACTAGTTCTGCGCCTCTAAACAACATACAGTAAAGGCTGGATGAATGAACTCGGTTGAGTGAAAGATTCAACGATTCACTCATAAAAAAACGTGTTAATTCCTGAATGAATTAGAGGTTTTAAAAGATATGAGTGATTAAATAATTCACTGTTTCACTCATTTTTCGCAACTGGCATCATGATGTAACCAGCAGAAAGAGTCCAACTGAAAAATCCTTTTACACAGGCTGAATTAAAAATATAATACTACTAATATAAATATATGTGTAAAAGTAGTGCATTTGCTTAAATTTGGCTAATTTCCTGACCAATCATTTGTGGTTAAGACAAAAAAAGCGTAGTGTTTTTGGGCTTGCCATTTTTTATGCCCTTGAGTATCCAGTTTACTTTCCGTGTTTAACAGTCATATCTAATATCATATTACATAGGACTGTTAAACATTAGAAACTAATGAAGATGGAGAATGGGAGTGCTGTGTGCTCAGGCTCTAGCGTTCTCAGTGCCGTCAAAATAAAAGTCCCGCACAACAATCAGTGCGGCAGGACGTAAGTGAGCAGAAAAATGGTCCTAGTGGGAAATTTTGTTCTCAGGGGACGGCCCTGGTGGCTAGTATAACTATAACTGCCCAGTGTGAAAATCTAAAATTATCATCTAAAATCCTAAAATCATTCCCAGTTCCTGCGGTGCGATAGTTCTGCCAATAGTTATAGGAACTATGAAAATGTTCCTCCGGTGCGAAAGCCCCTTTAGAAATGGTTTCTATTTCTGCAACGTCACAACTGGAACAACAACATACAAAGTGTGACAAAGATATATTCAGAGGTAGTCAATACCGTTTTTGGATGAGAATGGAGTGAGGGCGCTTGTCTGAGGGAGAGTCTGTGGTGTGGAAATGGATGTGATGTCAGCTGAGCTACAACCCAGGACGCCAGTAGACACAGATTGAGACATACAAAACGACTAGAACAAAACAAAGAACATGTTAGATCAATTATTGCCATAGTGTGCAGGTTACAAACTCAATATAAATTACCATTCAAAAGTTTGGAATGTCTCTTCTGCTCACCAAGGCTGCATTTATTTGGTCAAAAATCCAGTAAAAACTTTAATATTGTGAAATATTATTACAATTTAAAACAACTGTTTTCTATTTGAATATATTTTATAATGTAATTTATTCCTGTGATGCAAAGTTGAATTTTCAGCATCATTACTCCAGTCTTCAGTGTCACATGATCCCTCAGAAATCATGATAATATGATGATCTGATGCTCATGAAAGATTTCTTATGATCAATGTTTTTATCAAACTGTTTATACGGACTAATATTTTTGTGTAAGCTGTGATACAATTAAAAAGTTTGGGGTAAGAAAGATTTAATGTGTGTGTGTGTATATATATATATACAGTATATATACACACTATTATTCAGCAACATTAATCTGATCAAAGGTGGCAGTAAAGACATTTATATGTAATATGCAAAAGATTTATATTTTGAATAAATGCTGTTTTTCTATATTCACCTGAAAAATGTATAAGTGTCCACAAAAATATTAAGCGGTAAAAAAAGAATTCAACATTGATAATAATACGATTTTTTTCTTAACCCTTTACCTGTCACCCCCCCTTTTGATAATTTACATTAAAATGCACTATACAAACTTAAATGGTTGTAATTCAAGAACGCTTTGGAATATAGACCTAAGTTTGGTCTTGTTTTAAAGAAAACAATCAGCAGATTATTACTAAAGTGAAAGCACTTCAAAAAATTTAAGTATGAAAAAGTTATGGAAGTTATAATTTACAGTAAATCAAATATACTTTATTAATATTTTTTTTTAAATATAAAATAAATATTTTACAAAATATTTTTTAATATAAAATTACTATAAAATGAAAGCTATATATCTAACCAAGTTGTGTTCCAAATTTAAAGTTGATATCACAAAAATTGAAGTTCCCATGAGATTTTGTTTAGGCGTTATACCAAAAATAGCCACCGGGTGCCATTGAATTCCATTGAATTTAATTGTATGCATTCTGCCATAACAAATTAATAAATTTCTATCCAAATATCACTTCTGTCACTAAATATGGAACCTTGAGACTCAGACCTTTCTGACAATATGTGTTTTGTCAAGATTAGAAAAGGTTTTGATAATAAATTATGAAAGATGATGCCCAAAAGGGGAGGGGCCTAATAAAAAGTACCGTTTCTATGGTAACGCAACGTCCAATTTCAAAACGGTTTTCACAGGATGAATTCTGAGTTCGTAAGCTTTCAAATGATACCTAATTTATGATAACTACTAAAATATGTGATATAATAATAATAAAAAAATTATATATATATATATAATATATATTATACTTTTTAGAGGACTTCTTACTTTACTTTTTAAAATATAATTTGATATTTTTTTATTGACAAATACTAGATTATGTTTTATTATGAACTTTTAGCACTAAAAACCAAAGTTCCAATTATTAAAAGTGTGTGCGTCGACTTTTTGTGACAAAGGTCAGAAACTCCTGTAATGACGTCGATTTTTTGAGGCGCACTCTTGTCATAAATTCATATATTACTGTTCATTCATAATTTGTAAGAAAAAAACCGCGCCAAAATATCTATTTAGGAGTCTTAGACCTTTCCAACGATATATAGTTTGTCATGACTAGATTAGGATTTAATAGTAATATAGTGAAGTAAATTTAGTTTGCCCGTATACGGGCAGGTGACAGTTAAGGGGTAATGAAGCACCAATAATAACCAAATCAGCACATGATTTCTGAAGGATCATGTGACACTGAAGACTGGAGTAATGATGCGGAAAATACAGCTTTGCATCACGGGAATAAAAGACATTTTAAAATATATTAAAACAGAAAACAGTAACGTTAAATAATATTTCACAATATTACTATTTTTACTGTAATTTCGATCAAATAAATGCAGCCTTTTCAAAAATATAAAAAAATCTTAATTAGTCTAAACTTTTCCCTGGCAGTGTGTTGGCACACCTGTGTGTTGGCAGAGGTCGTGTCCTCCAGGGCATTGAGTTGCCTCTCAGTGGTTTCAGCTCTCTCCACCCTCATGCTGATGGCCTCTATCCTCTCCTTCATCCTCTTCTCGCTGCCCATAAGCTCCTCCACTTTCCTCAGGGACTTCAGCAGGTCTTCTTCTACTGATGAATCGGTGATCACAGCCACATCTCTGAACTGAATCTGAGAGTCTTCCTGTGTGCTGGTTCCCTGGTCTTTGAGAAGCTCCCTCACGCCACGCTTAGTCTCTTCCACCTGGGCTTTCGTGCGATCGACCGCCAGGCCTTGGATCTGTTTCTGCGCGTGTGCCACAGCCTCTTGTGGATCTCGGGCAGTCTGACCCCTCCACCAGGTGATGGCAGCCGCTATGTGAGCCTCCTGTGTCTGACGCTTGGTCTTGTGCTGTCCTCGCGCTGCCAGCGGAGCTTCAAGAAGCTCCAGCTCTTTTAGACTGGAAAGCATGATGGACAACATGATCATCAACGCAAAGCAACGTTGAAATATTATGGAAATGATTCATTACAGTGTCACCAGCTGATGCCTAGAACTTCCATGCTGTTGTTGGTCCTGCAGAGAGAGTCTCTGTAACTTCTCACTCGCACTGTTGCCAACTTTGTCCTGAAGAGCAGATGATACAAAGAAAGAAAGTATTGCATGTTTGGAACAACTGGTCATTTTTGTACGGAAGCGTCTTGCATTCACTTGAGGAAAAAAAATCTACTCTGTTTTTCTGAATTATCTCAGAATTACCAGTTAATTATCTCAGAATTACGAGATACTTTTTTCTTGAAAAACATTTTTTTCACTCTGTTTTTGAATTAATGAGTTACTCATAATTTTGAGATAATTAAGTCATTAATTCAGAAAAACAGAGCAAAAACTTTTTGTCCATGAAAAATTATCTCGTAATTCTGAGATAATTAACTCGTTAATTCAGAAAAACAGAGTAGATTTTTTTTCCTCAAGTGAATGCAATACGCTTCCGTATTTTTAGGGTCGACTACAGTGTTATTCTAGTATCTTTGAGATAATATTGTAGTTTTTATTAATATTACTTTTTTTTGTCATTTGGTTGTGTATAAGTCGTTTTATTAGTATTTGATTTTTTAAATATAATTTTCATATTTTTTTTTTTTTTCAGTTTTAGTTAATTTACTTTAGTACATTAAGTTAAATTAAATAAAAATGTGAAATGTTTCCTTGGCAACTGGGTGAAATAAAATAAGTACTTTTTTTGGTGTATTTTATTTTATTTTGAGTCCAAATTTATTTCATTTCAAGAAACATTTTTTTTTTTGGTTTTAGTTAACACATACAGTATATTGTCAATCACATTTGTTTGGACTCTGTGTTTCATCATCGTCTGCCTTAATCATTCATTTGTTGTCAAAGGCACTTATTATGTTCATCTGTGCACTCATCAATCACCATCGACATCACCTGTATATGTGTTCGGTTCTCCGTCAGTTTAGTGTCTGCTCAAGTCTTTACTGGATGTGTTGTATGTCGCTCTGTTCCTGTTTAGATTACTCACTGAATTTATTAAATCTTACCTATTTGCCATCATCTTCGTGTGTGTTTATACAACCACCCCTGTGACATACTGTATATATACACACATAATTCAGTCCCTCCAGGATTTTGCAATCACAAAATTAGCAAAATATCAAGCAAACTGCATTATTCACAGAGCTTGTATTTTGTCATTTTTCCACACATTTTTTAACATGAACGAGCCATTGAACACCTTCTTTATATTTATATGTAAAGCATGTGGGACGAAATAAAAGCTTATAGAGGTTTAATGATACTATATATATAATACTGAATATCATGTATATTAGTCCTCATAATGCCTGATTTCACCAGTTGATTATATTAAAAAAATATACATTTGACTGTATGTGCACTTTTTAATATATCAAATAAATGCAATCACTGATATTACTATTGTAAATAATTATATTAAATTTAAAATAAATGCAAAAATAATATTACAAGAATGGACAATTCTATAATTTTGAAAATGACAATTACAATGAATAAATTGTAAAAGCATATTTAAAATGTAAAGTATAACCAGTGTCACAGATTATATACTGTACAAAATCACAATTTCAGTAATTATGCACAAAAATGTCAGGTAATTATAGTCTTAATGTGACTAACTGACGCTGTTGTATGAGAACTGAACTGCGCTGGACGATGACTTTATATTTTTGCAGAACTGTTTTATGGATGAAACCCTAAAATGTATGATCTAACTTTAATTTAATAATTGATGATCTTTACAACAGACCTGAATCAACACTGAACTGACTTCAGCTGAACAACAGCCGAACACACATTATTTTCCTGTTCTCTCTGTAAAGCTGCTTTGAAACGATCTGTATTATATAAAGTGCTATATAAATAAAGGTGACTTGACTTGACCAACAAGTCCCAAAATCAGAAAAAGTTTAAATTCTGGTGTGATTGAATAACAATATTAATAAACTGTATAATAACTTTGATTCTCTGTTATTATTTGAGTATTTTAAGAGAAAACCCCAGCAATTATGTTGGTGTTGTGTGTGTGTGTGTGTGTGTGTGTGTGTGTGTGTGTGTGTGTGTGTTTCTCACAGTCTCCGAGAGTTGTGCGTGCAGGATATGGGACAACTCTACAGGCTTGATCTTTCGGAGGTTTTGAATGTCTCCTCTCTGGGGGACGGTGGGTAAGATCTGGCTGACAGAACCGCAAATCGACTCCATGGCCACATTCTGGGACTGAAAGACGAGTAGAAGAGGACATATACTGTACATACATTTTACTTCCACATGTAAAACTGTTGAAAACCAAATGGCTGTTTTACAGATTCTGCATGGAAACAACTATGGACGATTCTGTTTGAAAGTTCAATATGGCCGACTAGGTAATCAGACCAACACTACGATTATGGGTGTGATATATCGGAGCAATAGCACTGTGGGCAGACCCGAGTTCGAATGTATGTGTGTGTGTGTGTGTGTGTTCACTACTCCTAATGTGTGTGCACTAACTTGGATGGGTTAAATACAGAGAACAAATTCGGAGTATGGTTACCATACTTGGCCTTTACGTCACATTTCACTTATATTGCTTTTAAACAACAATTCAATACACAATAATCTAACATTTTAAAGACATATTTCTAGTTCCTTCTATTTTTGGGCCACCAACAAGAACTGTTCGAAGCTGAGACAAAACAGAATCTATTCAGTTGCTTCATTTCTGAATGGATTGGTGCCTTTGAACAGATTATATAACAGGGGTATGATCATAAAGGCAGACACATTTCGCCACCTACTGGCACAAATATGTAACTTGGATTGAAACAATCAAAAAGGTCTGAAACCAATTGCAGCCTTCCTTTGTGAAAAAGAAGTAAACTTTAATATAGGCTACTTTTTAAAAGAGTAATTATTAGATAAACAATACACTTTAAAAGAATACTTGAATGTAATGTTTCACTAAATTGCAAAGTAATTATAGGCTATCATAGTTTAAAGTTATATTAAACACAATTAGCTGAACTTTAGAAAATGTTTTGCTCACTCAAGTACATCTTTATTTGTAATTTTCATAATTGCTTCAATTGTATTCTTTTTAAAAGTGTACATAAGTGTGTTAAGAAATATTCATGCAAGTGTAGGCTATACTCTCTCTTTACATTGCCTTTTATTTCATTAATATTATAATATTTGCAAGTACATGTAGTTTTAAAAATATATATTCTTAAGATTTCAAGTAGCCTACACTACAATGCACCTTTTAAGCACGCTTCTTTTTCACAAGGGTTTCTTCAGTCTTTTAAACAGCTCAGCAAATAACAGAATCTGTGTTTTCTATGGAAATCATGTTATTTTAAATATTTAAAAACAATGGTTGTACTTTAGTTGTATAAAGAGATGCTTTAGAATATATAACAATAAATGCAAGCTAGGGTGAACAGATGAGTAACTTAAAGATACATCATTTAAAAGAGTTCAGGAATGTAATAATTCATGCATCAGAGGGGTAACGCACTGTAAGCGGATGGTCCAGCAGTGTACTGTATGTGTTAATAAACTAATGGACTATTACCGGTTGAGCATCCAGAATCTCACGGTGAAGAGACTGATGGTTTGTCACACCTGTCCTCTGTGGACCACCAGAGCTGATGTGGTATTTATTTAACCTGCCAAAAATATGAAAAAATTCCTTTACAAAAAAGCACAACATTTAAACAAAGCGATGAAACAGAACTATGTATACACATATTATGTAAGAGGATTTTGTTCATTTTTTATCACACAATTAAAAAAAAATGTTCAATGACTAGTAAATTTATGTAAAAATGCTTTGTCTCTCAAAATATGGGCTACCTTCCAGGGTGTCCTGTAACATGTATGGTCTGAGACAGTCATGGCCTAATGGTTAGAGAGTCAAACTGGTAACCTGAAGGATGCAGGTTTGATTCTCAATACCTGCCGGAAATGACTGAGGCGCCCTTGAGAAAGGCAACTAACCACCAATCGCTCCCCGGGCGCCACTGCAAAAATGGCTTCCCACTGCTCTGGGTGAGTGTGTCCACTGTTAGCTGTGTGTGTGTGTTCACTACTCACTACTCCTAATGTGTGTGCACTAACTTGGATGGGTTAAAGGGATACTCCACTTTTTTTTGGAAATAGGCTCATTTTACAACTCCCCCAGAGTTAAACTGTTCAGTTTGACCGTTTTTGAATCCATTCAGCCGATCTCCGGTTCTGGCGGTACCACTTTTAGCATAGCTTAGCATACATCACTGAAGTGGACAAGACCATTAGCATTTCTCAAAAAAAAAATGACCAAAGAGTTTCGATATTTTTCCTATTTAAAACTTGACTCTTCTGTAGTTACATCGTCCACTAAGACCGACGGAAAATGTAAAGTTGCGATTTTCTAGGCTGATATGGCTAGGAACTATACTCTCATTCCTGCGTAATAATCAAGAAACTTCACTGCCGTACCATGAGTGCAGCAGGCGTAATGATATGACGCAGCGCCTGAAAATAGTTCCGTTGTGTTGACGGAAGGTGGCCTATTTTCAGGCGCTGCGTCATATCATTACGCCTGCTGCACTCATGGTACGGCAGTGAAGTTTCTTGATTATTACGCAGGAATGAGAGTATAGTTCCAAGCCATATCAGCCTAGAAAATCGCAACTTTACATTTTCCGTCGGTCTTAGTGGACGATGTAACTACAGAAGAGTCAAGTTTAAATAGGAAAAATATCGAAACTCGTTGGTCATTGCTTTTGAGAAATGCTAATGGTCTTGTCCACTTCAGTGATGTATGCTAAGCTATGCTAAAAGTGGTACCGCAAGAACCGGAGATCGGCTGAATGGATTCAAGAACGGTAAAACTGAACAGTTTAACTCTGGGGGAGTTGTAAAATGAGCCTATTTCCAAAAAAAAAGTGGAGTATCCCTTTAAATGCAGATAACATGGGTTACCATACTTGGCCTTCACATCACTTTCTTGTTATTTTCGTTTTCTCTCTGTTCGCTGTGTTTCCTTAACTCATTCACGGTCTACTCTGTGGCTACAGTTAATCACTGATTATTACTGTTAAATGTATTAATTTGTTTATTTAATTTTAATCAAATTATTTCCTTTATTCTAATCCAATGTAATCTACTTAATAGGTGACTGTTAATTTGAATCACATTTTATATTTATTTATTTGAATCTAATTTATTCATTTACTTGTTTATTTTTAATCTTATTATTTATTTATCTTTTTTTGTCAGTTTTTCTCTAGACTTTTGCAGAGACCTCCTGCTCCCGGACACCGGTTTGAAAACCCCTGATTTAGAGCATAAACGATGGTTCATTGTTGCTGCTTTTCACAAGTACCAATTGAATTTCCCCGCAAATGCACCCGTGGAGTTTACCTGAAGAGTGCTTGCTGTGAGTGCTCGTGTAGTGTCGTCAACTCTGACTGCAGGCCCTTCAGATGCATTAGCACACAACAGAACGCCATCACTGAATAGCCAAACCATTATTTCACATGTTCATAATGGACTCAACCTTGGAATACCTCGATCATTTTGTGACTTTCATAGTGAGTGTCCTTCAGCTTTTCCAGCAGGATGTTTTTCTATGTCAAATAAACAACAAGGCCATAAAAGAAAGACACACATGTACTGAACTCTGTTTCTAAGACTAAAATCAATCATCATCACCAAGTTTAATATCACCTTTGTAAGGTCCCTGTTTTTCTCAGCCAGTATCATGTGAGATTCCTCTAATTTCCCCTTGTAAACATGATCGGACAGTGTTAATACAGCTCCCCCTGTGGCCAGTAGGGTAACTGCACACTTCAGTATTCTCTCTCTCACCTTTAATTCTGAGTTTTCTCTTCTAAGTTTGTTCATTCGATCTTCAGCAAGGTTCTTCTCAAGGGTTAATTTTTCACTCTGTGGAAGATATTGTGATTAAATAAATAGAACTATTCGTGTATTAATCTCTTATATAGCCCATTTCCGCCTCATCAGAAACAAAAATCATGGGCTACTATTGTAAATCATAATTTTAGTTGAAAAGTCCAAATTATATTTAAGAGATGAAAAGTTGAACATATGACTTAGTCGAAATTACGACTTAAAAAGTCAAAACTATGACATAAAAAGTCAAAATTATTACAAAAAAATTCATCATAATTTAGATGTTTTCGCCTCATAATTTCAACTTTTTAATGTCATAATTTGACTTGATATGTTATACTTATGACTTTGTGAATTTCGCCTTTTATCTCATATTTTCACATTTTTATGTCTTGATTGTGACTTTTTTTTTAGACACTACAACTTTTTATCATAATTTTATGACTTAATAATTTCCTTTTCAGAACTTTTTATGCCATTAAGATTTACCAAAGAACGATTTTTTCCCCCTTATGTGGCGGAAATAGGTTTCCATACGTGTTTGCAAAAATGGTTTCAGTTTGATTAATTCGGACAGTTTTGTCTGCAACTATTTCTCAAACTGAAATAGTAAAGGGATATTTTATAAGATAGAAAAGCAAAATAGTGCAAGATGAGGATTTATGTGTTTATTTGATGTATAAATGTAGGCTATATATAAAAGTATCAAAATATGGAAACACTTCTTTTGTGATGGGGGCCTGTGCCCCAGAAATATAACTGTTTCCCTGTTTCACAATATATTATTTTATCACATTATATTATTATCATATTATATTATTTAAGACAAAGTCAATACCTTTTCTTCAGTTATTTGGATTAGAGCTTTCAAGCGTTCACTTCCCTTTATCTAAAAGACAAATGTCAAGTTATTGAGTAAGAATAGTCATTTATAAAACCAAATCATTATTATGAAGTTCATGAGCATGAATGATTCATACTAATGCACAGTTGCTGGCCTGAGCTCTTGCGGCTTCGTCACGGCTCTCCCTCAGCGCACACTGGGTTTCATCAAGCTCCTCTGAAAGAGACCGTGCTCTCGCCACATACAGCTGCGCACTGCTGACATTAACCAACACAAAAGAACACATCTGGTCAACTTATATATATATATATATATATATATATATATATATACACTCACCTAAAGGATTATTAGGAACACCTGTTCAATTTCTCATTAATGCAATTATCTAATCAACCAATCACATGGCAGTTGCTTCAATGCATTTAGGGGTGTGGTCCTGGTCAAGACAATCTCCTGAACTCCAAACTGAATGTCAGAATGGGAAAGAAAGGTGATTTAAGCAATTTTGAGTGTGCCATGGTTGTTGGTGCCAGACGGGCCGGTCTGAGTATTTCACAATCTGCTCAGTTACTGGGATTTTCACGCACAACCATTTCTAGGGTTTACAAAGAATGGTGTGAAAAGGGAAAAACATCCAGTATGCGGCAGTCCTGTGGGCGAAAATGCCTTGTTGATGCTAGAGGTCAGAGGAGAATGGGCCGACTGATTCAAGCTGATCGAAGAGCAACTTTGACTGAAATAACCACTCGTTACAACCGAGGTATGCAGCAAAGCATTTGTGAAGCCACAACACGCACAACCTTGAGGCGGATGGGCTACAACAGCAGAAGACCCCACCGGGTACCACTCATCTCCACTACAAATAGGAAAAAGAGGCTACAATTTTGCAAGAGCTCACCAAAATTGGACAGTTGAAGACTGGAAAAATGTTGCCTGGTCTGATGAGTCTCGATTTCTGTTGAGACATTCAGATGGTAGAGTCAGAATTTGGCGTAAACAGAATGAGAACATGGATCCATCATGCCTTGTTACCACTGTGCAGTTTGGTGGTGGTGGTGTAATGGTGTGGGGCACACCATTTTTTTTTTGCACACTTTAGGCCCCTTAGTGCCAATTGGGCATCGTTTAAATGCCACGGCCTACCTGAGCATTGTTTCTGACCATGTCCATCCCTTTATGGCCACCATGTACCCATCCTCTGATGGCTACTTCCAGCAGGATAATGCACCATGTCACAAAGCTCGAATCATTTCAAATTGGTTTCTTGAACATACAATGAGTTCACTGGACTAAAATGGCCCCCACAGTCACCAGATCTCAACCCAATAGAGCATCTTTGGGATGTGGTGGAACGGGAGCTTCGTGCCCTGGATGTGCATCCCACAAATCTCCATCAACTGCAAGATGCTATCCTATCAATATGGGCCAACATTTCTAAAGAATGCTTTCAGCACCTTGTTGAATCAATGCCACGTAGAATTAAGGCAGTTCTGAAGGCGAAAGGGGGTCAAACACAGCATTAGTATGGTGTTCCTAATAATCCTTTAGGTGAGTGTATATTTAACATGCATATGCTAAGATACAGTGGTATCTGCTTCGTGCTGCATGTTGGAGTGGATGTACCTGGCCAGTTTGGTGTGCAGCTCTGATACCTCGAGACTGAGCTGTAGGATGGTGTCCTCACACTGAGACACACTCCTCAGCATGCTGATGTTCTGCTCACTCAGCCTGTGCTGTGTGTGTGTGAGCTCAGACACTAAACCTGACAAATCTCCAGACTCACTGAAATCAGACAGAATCAGACACTGGCGCTGAAATGGCAGATGCTCGTGAAATCAAAACGAGCGTGGCTTCGAAATGTGGTAAACAACGCTATCTCACGACCAATTCATACGAGTGATTTAAAGGTGGCTAATTCGTACGAATTTGTACGATTTGTCTAAACCCACGTGATGTGTAGGTTTAGGGGCAGGGTCAGGGGTAGGTCACTCGTACGAATTCATAATTTGGTAACTCGTAAAATATGTGTACGAATTAGCAAAAATCATACGAATTCATACAATTAGCCAACTCGTAAAATTTGTAGGATTAACATACAGATGCAATAAAGTGACTGAACTAACCAATGACATTCAGCTCGATCTGTGAACGTGGCCTCGCTTAAAGGAAGATGATAGTCAGTCCCTGTGGAACAGTGAGTTTCAAATGTCACAGTTACAAATGTTACATATGAACATATCAAAAGCGGCAGTAAAGACATCTATAATATTACAAAAGATTTCTATTTTTAAATAAACGCTGTTCTTTCGAACCTTCGAAAAGTTTCCACAAACATATTAAGCATGTTTTCAACATTTTCAGGATTCTTTGCTGAATAGAAAGTTCATAAGAACGGCATTTATTTAAAAATATCTTTTGCAATATTATAAGTGTCCTTACTGTCACTTTTAATCGATTTAATGCTTGCTCAATAAAAGTATTTATTTCTTTTTAAAAAATCTATTGAATGCAGTGTAGCTATCATGGTTACCACAAAAATAAGCAGCAAAAACTGCAAAAATATTTCAACATTAATAATAAGAAATGATTCTGAAGGATTGTGTGACATTGAAGACAGGAGTAATATATACAGCTTTGCATCACAGGAATACATTACATTTTAAAATATATTCAAACAGAAAACAGTTCTTTAAAAATGTCATAATATTTTACAATATTATGTTTTTAGTGATCAAATTAGCGCAGCCCTGGTGAGCATAGAAGACTTCACATAAAAAAAAAAAACACTTTTAAATGGTAGTTATTCACTTACTAGATACTTTTCTTAAGGCTGTTCCTGTTGCCTGGTTTTTATCCTCAGGAGTTCTGTACATGAAATTCAATGTTTAGTACACTTAAAGCTATCAATATCACATCATATAGAGTCACAACCCTCCTCGTGTTTGCCCGTATCTGTCACCCGTCTCGGCCGCACTGTGCGATCCACTCTCTCATGGTGGCATGGAACACATCTCTGCTAACGGGATGGTCCTGGCTCTCTGGGTCCAGCAAGTGGTGTAAATCGGTCAGCTTGTCCTGACCGGAGCTTTGGAGAGTCATGGCCTGGAGATACTGCACCACGGTGGAGGCCTGGACCTCTCCTGTAGGAAACAGAGAGAGGCGGTTAGATCTGTTTGTGAAATAATCCGTTTTTTCTGTTTTAAAATGTAATGTATTCCTGTGATCAAAGCTGTATTTTCCGCATCATTACTCCAGTCTTCAGTGTCACATGATCCTAATCACCCTTAGGACATGTTTGAAGATTCTGTCACCAAATAAATGCCCGTTAAAACCCAGGAACGACTTGAGCCTTTATTAAATCTCGAGGGGAGTAACAAGTAGGCTATTGTTGAAAACAGTTGCTTCACATTTTTGTGTAAATCATGATACTTTTTTTTTCAGGGATATTTGATTTATAGAACATTTACGTTTGTGTGAATTCTGTTTTTTTTATTGTCCTTTATACTGTGATTTAAGGAACTCTCTTTTTGAATCAATTCAGTTAAAAAATCCTGATATATTTTGGAATATGTTTGAAAATTATGTTTTTGCTTTGGCAAAAGGTATAGAAAAGGCCTGGTATCTGCGGCAAAGTATTTTGTATCCCATATGAAAAGCCGCATCTCTATTTGTATATTTGTGTATAGGGAGTAGTAGAATATTGTAACTCATTACTTTTAAAAGTATTTTCCCCCAACACTGCTGATGATCAATGTGCCATTGCCAAATAAAAATATTTATTTTTTAACCTGTTAAGTGAAACCTCCCCCGCCCCCCCCTCCCCTGTTTTTTTATGAAAATGCACATTTCGAACTTATGGTTGTAATTCAAGAATGCTTTGGAATATAGACGTAAGATTGGTCTCGTTTTAAAGAAGACATTTGGCAGATTTTTGTAGAAGTGAAATAAATTAAGAAGTTTGAAAAAAGTTATAGAAGTTTGAGTTTCATGAAAATGTACAATGTAAAACAATGTAATTATTCATTTTTTATATAAAATATATATTTTCAAAACCTGGGCGACTCTAAAACTGCAAAAAAAAATCAAAGCAAAAAATCTGAACAAGTTGTGTTTCAAATTTTAGGTTGATATCTCAAAAAAATGAGCTTGTTTGGGCGCAGTACCGAACTTTTTCACTAGGTGACAACCAGACACCATTACTGCCCATATAAGGGCGCCTCCATTTCCATACGTGTTTTGAGTGATAAGAACCATTATTTCCACAATTTTCATACAATTAATGAAGTAGACATCCTATTCAGAAGTAATATGAGAAGTTTGGCAGATTTTGATATGAATTCAACCTCTATAAGAAAAAGAACAAGTATGTGAGTTATAGCTTGCTGCCACATCACAAATGGTGAATATCATTTTTTTCTTTATATTTTAAAAAAATTCAGATTTTTTTTCTAAAATAATTGAATGGATGCTATCTTTTGAACTCTTGGCATGAAAACAAACTGAGGTTTCCACCCTTTCATGATTTTTCATGTTCATCACTATTTCAAAATAAAGGTCTAAACGCCTTAGGAGTATGAAAATATTCTTGTTGCAAATTGATAAATTACGGCTCCTCTGTCATTTATTTTGAAGATCAATCACCAAATATGGAAACTAGAGATTGTAAGCTTTCAAATGATGTAGTTTGTGAAGATTAGTTTAGGTTTATAGTATAGGATATTACTGTTTTAAAAATGTAATGGATTTGGGCCCACCGGTGGGCCGGTGACACACAGAGCCCAAACTTTTGAACAGTAGTGTGTAAGATTGTGTACTGACAAGCATTGTTGAAAGAGAAGGTCTTACCTTTGCCAGTAGTGTCACATGCTTCAAAAGTTATGTTCAGGAGTTCTTCCTCTGAAAAGCCGTTTGTTTCGGCACAATCACATAGAGGACTCTCTGATGTCAAATCTACAGTAATGAGAAGTCTCAGGTGAGATGACTGTATTTATCGCTGCATGCACACTAAAGACTGGTAGTAAAGCATCAGATCACCTTCACCGCTCTCAAGCATGTGGCAGCGCTCCAGTGAATATGTCCCGGAGTCGATGGAAAGGCTTGGGACGCTGCATGCATGACTCTGGGACACGAGCCTGAAAGAGGAGAGATGGGGAACAACGTCTTCTTCTGAAGACCCCGGTCGTCCGGTCGGCTTCTCGGAGGCCATCGCCTCTGACAACCAGAGAAAAGAAACTCTTCTGATAGTTACACATATCATATCTGTATCGCAATATGAAACTTACATTTTACAGAACTAGTGAATATTAACTCATCTGTTCTTCCATTTCATTGTTTTACTGAAATATAAAGACAACAACTGAGACATCAGCCATAATAGAATGATGAATACTCATTGTTGGCATAATTACATACCTTTTTATCTGAATGTAATCCTTTTAGAACACACAAGAATGACATTTTTAAAACAGCATGGCTGATCTGTGCACAGTCCCTATAGTAACAGTGCTGTGAAACACCCGTGTTGCTTGTAAATCTCAGTGCTTATAGAAGCAACAGCTGATCTTTAGAGAGCCTTGGCCTCTTTTCATCATAGACACACACTGACACACATCAAAACCAGATGACATGCTATACCTCCCCCAAACACCCTCCTTTCACTGCCTGTGCGCCTCGGGCAGGACAGAACAATGTTGTAATGGACCATTTTAATTAACATTCGGCAGTTTTCCATATCAAATGATTCAAGGCCAGCACTCATCAACTATCTGCACCACCCACTCACTGTCCTTGACCATTTCTTCAATAGCCAACCTTTCTCTCAGTCAGAAAATATCATTTCTAAATGTAATAACAACAACAACAACATTATTAGTTTATCTATATAATATTATATTATAATTTTAGATAGAACAATTATCATATTTCTGTATATGTGTATATTATCATTATTAGAAGCAGCAGTACTACTAGTAATATTACAATTTTAGATATAATTATACTATAATCATATTTTATATTTTGTTGTGGTTATTATTATTTATATATTATTATTCATATATATACATTATCTTTTCATTGGATATTTGTAATTAGAATGATTTATCTATTTAATATTATATAATAATTTTAGATATAATTATGCATTATAATTTCATTGTATATTTATTATTAGTATAGTAGTAGCACCAGTAATACTACTAGTAATGTTATATTTAATATTATAATTTTAGATATAATTATACTATTATATATTTTGTTGTGGTTATTATTATTTTTCTGTATAATATTATATAATAAGTTAAGATGTAATTATATTATTATCACATCGTTGTATATTTGTTATTATTATTAGCAGTAGTTCTACCACTAATATTATATATAATATTATAATTTAGATATAATTATACTATTATCATATTGCATATTTTGTTGTGGTTATTATTATTTATCTATATAATATTATATAATAATTTAAGATGTAATTATGTTATTATCACATCGTTGTATATTTGTTATTATTATTGGCAGTAGTTCTAGTAATATTATATATAATATTATGATTTTAGAAATAATTATACTATTATCATATTGCATAATTTGTTGTGGTTATTATTACTAGTGCAATGCCCGTGCAAAATCAGTTTTTGTGTGTTTTTAGTAATTGTTGGTTTGTTTGAGTTGCTGAATAGCCTAGGCTACTATTACACAGGAGCCTAAACTCTGAGAAAACGTTAAGCATTTCAAAAAGCACCATACTTTTTCATAAAAGAATCGCTACTTTTTCAAAAAGAATAATGTAACAAAATAATAATGTAACAAATGTATAATAATAATGTAACAAATGTATAATAACACTGTATTAAATGTACATTTACATTGTAATAAACGTATAATAACACTAATGTATAATTACATTGTGATAAACGTATAATTACATTGTAATAAATGTATAATTACATTGTAATAAATGTATAATAAGACTGTAACAAATGTATAATTACATTTTTACACTACTTTTTCAAAAAGAATCGCTACTTTTTTCAAAAAGATAATGTAACAAAATAATAATGTAATGTAATAATAATGCAACAAATGTATAGTAACACTGTAATAAATGTATATTTACATTGTAATAAACGTATAATAACACTAATGTATAATTACATTGTAATAAACGTATAATTACATTGTAATAAACGTATAATTACATTGTAATAAATGTATAATTACATTGTAACAAATGTATAATAAGACTGTAACAAATGTATAATTACATTTTTACACTACTTTTTTCAAAAAGAATCGCTACTTTTTTCAAAAAGAATAATGTAACAAAATAATAATGTAACAAATGTATAATAATAATGCAACAAATGTATAATAACACTGTAATAAATGTATAATTACATTGTAATAAACGTATAATAACACTATAATGTATAAATTACATTGTAATAAACCAATTACATTGTAATAAATGTATAATAACACTGTAATAAATGTATAATTACATTGTATCAAACGTATAATTACATTGTAATAAATGTATAGTAACACTGTAAACAATGTATAATTACATTTTAATAAATGGATAATAACAACCTTGAAAAGAATCACTACATTTCTCGAAAAGAATCGCTACTTTTTTTTACTTCAGAAGTAAACAGTGTAGTTAATGTTAATGTTTAGCTGACAGAATGTTTATTTCTAAACCTCAATTTTTAAACCACACCCCTCTCTAATGTCAGAATGTTTATTTTTAAACCACAACTTCAATGTTGGCTTCTTTTACAGATATATTTAACGATATCTTTTGCATTTCTAATCCAAACAACGTCAAACTCGGCACTGCACTTACTCGTGGCCGTAGCAAGACACCTGTCAAGTTTGAAATCCATCCGACCAACGGTTCGAGAGATATTCGATTAACAGACTGACAGACACAAAGACAGACAGACGTTCCTGTAATGTAATTTATAGATAGATAGATAGAAGATTTATCTATATAATATTATATAATAATTTAAGATGTAAACTAATATAATCTTATCACATCGTTGTATATTTGTTAGTATTATTATTATTATTATTATTATTATAATTATCATCAATTTGTGGTGCTGTGTAACAACAACTCAACTCAACGATTTTAAAAAAAACTATTTTGAACAGCATTTACTTCCTTTACTTTGACTTATGTTTGTATTGTTTAATCATTTGTCACAGCGCAGGATTACCAAAAAAAGAAAAAGAACTAGTAAAGATAGAAATGTCACTAAAATGTTCAGTTTTTGTTGATTTAAAGATGAACGAGTCAAGCGCATGTAAGAGGAGTTTCTGAGGACTTTTAATTTGAAGCGTCTGACCGCTAACCCGGAAGTGTAGTGTATTTTGTTGTTCAGGTTCAGTGTGTGTGTGTGTGAGGCTGCTGCTGCATCTCTGTTCACTGTTGGATGCGAACAAGTACAAACCGAAACCTTCAATATTGGGTTTTAGGCTCGAGTCGCAGCTATGTCTCGGGGATCTATTGAAATCCCTCTGCGGGACACAGATGAGGTTTGGACTCGTTTTATTACTGTGTGGTGCTGAGTGTATTTTTATTACAGATCAATGAATAGCTATCATCTGCTAACATGCTATCATTTACGCGCTTTTGATTAAGTTTACATAACATTCATGAACTAACAAAGGCGAATGACAGAAGTACTTCCGCGAGACTTGGGCTTCTCTGTCATAATTATACAATCATTATTCAATGATGTAAAATACTTAAGTTTATGGTTCTGCCAAGAAATATCATCCAATCATATTTTAAGCATTTCCCATTGAAGTTTATGTCTATATGATATATTGTGTGCTATTTAATTTGTATTTATTTAGAATTAAGCAAAAAATAATAATATGCCAGGGTATAATACAACAACAACAACAACATTTGTAATTGTACAACTGAACAACATTGTACAAATTAAACAGTTGCATAGTTTCTCTAGTTCGTAAGTTTTTATGTTTATATACTGTTTCCAAATGCGTTTTAATATAAAATTTAAAATCGTTCAAACATTTACTTTTTTTCAATTCCATTTGACTATAATAACGCACAATTATAATAATTAAATCAAATATAAATTCTAGATTTACAATCTACTTTACAATCTTCACTTCTTTTTGTAAAGAAATGTTTTAATTCTCTCCAAAAAATTTTACAATAGGAAGTAAGTGACTAATAAGCATTTTTACAAACAAAAAAAATGTATTATATGATTATATTATATTTTTATATGATCATTTTAGATAATTATATTATTATCATATCATTTATATTTGTCATCATTATTATTATTAATTTCTCATGCCGTGTAACATGTCTCAGGGGAATTTTTTTTGTACCAAAAACATCTTCCATGTGAACTGATATTTATTATATTATTATATAAATTTTTTATTATTTATTGCAGCTATTTGATCTCTACTGTCCATTTCAGCCAAACTCACTGGTGGAATTTGATCCTATTTTCCTCAGTTATGGCTCGCACATAGAGATGCACCGAAATGAACATTTTGGCCGATACTGATATAATTCTTTTGTATTTGAAAGCCGATAACCGATATATTGGCTGATAAATCCAAATTTGTATATAACTTTTGAGAGCCTGATTACAAAAACAAGTCTCACCATTAAAAGCCATGTCCCAAGCACACACTAATAATGTTCTCATTATAATAATTTTATGTAGCTTATATGACAGACTTGTGCCGCACGTGTTGCACTTAACTGTATTATTCTTTTTTGAAATGATTTCAATCATATTTCAAGCAACTCAAAACCATGATGGCGAACAGTGTGCATCTGAACTTGTCTCAACTGAAGGAAATGATCCAATATGTATTGGCTCTAATATATCGGCTATATCAGGCTGATAACAGTAAAAATTAACATATATCGAGCATCCCTATTCCCCCTTACTGAGTTCATATCTATTTTTTCTTTCTCAGGTTATTGAGCTTGACTTCGACCAGCTTCCAGAAGGAGATGAAGTCATCAGTATCCTCAAACAGGAGCACACACAGCTCCACATATGGATTGCACTCGCTGTAAGTGACACGCTTGTGTATGATGACTTTATTAGGGTTTTCTGCTGCACAAAAAAAACGTACGACTATTGCTTTTTTCAGTTGGAGTACTACAAACAAGGCAAGACAGAAGATTTCGTCAAGCTGCTGGAGGCGGCACGCATTGATGGAAACCTGGATTACAGAGACCACGAGAAGGACCAGATGACGTGTCTGGACACACTCGCCGCTTATTATGTCCAACAGGCTCGAAAGGAGAAGAACAAGGATGCAAAGAAGGACCTCATCAACCAGTCCACTCTTCTGTACACCATGGCAGACAAGATCATCATGTACGATCAGGTAAATCAAGGTTCCAGTGTTCGTAGTCATGTTGTAGAAATCGCTGCTATTTTTGGATGTTTAGCCTTATGATATTTCTCATTTCCACAGAGCCATCTGCTGGGAAGAGCTTGCTTTTGTCTCCTGGAAGGAGATAAGATGGATCAAGCAGATGCTCAGTTCCAGTTCGTTCTGAACCAGTCGACAAACAACATCCCTGCACTCCTGGGTAAAAGTCACATGATCATTACATACTTTAAAACATGAAATCAAAATCCACCCTGCTTACCTAATACAGGCTTCCCGCGGGACTTTAATATTTCTTAAATTCAGTTTGGTCTGATTTAAGGTTATAAAAAGTCTTACATATGGTAAATTATCATTTTAAGAGGTCTTAGATTTTATTCTCGCCACAATTAATATATAATCTGATATCGCCTAATGTGATTATTAAACTTCATCCTATATGAGCTTATTGAATTAAATAAATGTGAGCGATGCGCGTTCAAAGTCAAAACACAGCGCTCTTGTCGTGATTGTAATTCATATTTTTTGTAATGTATTTGGCTGCATTTATTTGATCAAAAATACAGTAAAAACAGTAATATTGTGAAATACCATTACAACTTAAAACAGAGACCTTAAGAAACATTTCTTAATATTAATTGGGGTGCTTAATGCGATACATTTTTTCTGGATACTTTGATTAATAGAAAGTTCAAAAGAAAGGCATTTATTTGAAATATCATTTTTTTTTGTAACATAAATGTCTTTACTGTCACTTTTGATGAATTTAATGAATCCTTGCTGAATAAAAGTATCTTTTTATTTTATTTTATTTTTTTACTTACCCCAAAGTTTTAAATAAGGGTGTAAGGGAATTTTTACAGTTTAGGACCCAAGGACCAGATGTTTGAAAAAAGACCCGGAGTCAGAATTATAATAAATGAAATAAAAGTTTAACTGAAGATAGTTAGCAGTTTCATCAGCAGAAGTCAGCTTCGAGACTCACATGAGAGTTCGTAGGCCGTCCCGCTCACAGTTACAAAGATCACAGCAGTTATACCATTTCCAAGGTCTAAGATACGTCCTTGCTTCAGGTTGCAGTCTCTGATTGGCTAAGAAATAGATAAACATAGTAATTTCCCACACATATACAGATAGACTGAAGCATATCTCCATCGATTATGCGGCTGAAACTCGAACCCTGAAGTTTGGCCAGCCTGTCCAGAACAACAAGTCAGTCAATCTCCAATAATGCGATTGGTTCCTTAACCTGTAACCAAGAAGACTAACACACACACCGACACACAGAGTTTTCTCAAAACATCAAGATAATGCGTTCTTTCTCTCAAGGAGAGCTACACTTTAGTCTAACTGGAAAGTAAGGCTTTAGCAAAGAAATGGTCCTTTAAACTATTGGCTTCAATGACCCCTGTATGTATTAACACGTTGAAGACCTTTCTCAAACACAAAACAAGTCCATATTTCACTTCTGGAAGCCGGGCTAAATGAGCAAGCACTGTTACTGCATTCACATATCAAATACAGACATTAAAGAATACATGAAAAGAACATTTCACACTGGAAACTTCTATAACAAAGTCAAATCTCCAGAGAAGTCATTCAACTCATTTGATATTTAGAAGGAAACGTATTGATTAATACCTTGATTATAATCACTCATTACATATACATTGAAGCAGCAGTGCATTCCAGAATCCACCCCTTCAAGGGTTTACACTAAAATATTAAACACTGATGATAATAATAAGAAATCAAATCAACATATTAGAATGATTTCTGAAGGATCATGTGACACTGAAGACTGGAGTAATGATGCTGAAAATACAGCAGTGCATCACAGGAATACATTGCATTTCAAAATATATCAAAATTGTAATAATATTTCACAATATTACTGTTTTTACTGTACTTTTGATTAAATATATGCAGTTTTGGTGAGAATAAGAGACCCAAACTTTTGACCGATAGTGTACATTATTTATTTTGAGATATTGCTAGGTTTGTTTTGTACAGATACACTGTATTAATTTTATTTGTGAAGGTCTTAAAAAGTATGATATCCTGTAATGCATGTTCCGGGTCTTTATGTGCAGTTATCAGTCTACATTAGTCACATTATTAATATGGAATACATAATATGGAAGTTAAATTGGATGTGATCATGGTTATTGATAGATATCGTCTTATGAATGATAATTTATGTTTATGTCCTTCAACAGGTAAGGCGTGTATCTCCTTCAACAAAAAGGATTACAGGGGAGCTCTAGCCTACTACAAAAAAGCTCTTCGCACTAACCCTGGCTGTCCAGGTGAGTTTGCCAGATGCTGAAGATACTATCATCCTTTACTTGAAATCTGACCACTTCCTAGATAGTGATAGTTGATCAATTTATACTAATTAGATCTTTACATATTACACATGAATTGAGAGATAAAAAGCTTAGCTTCAATATTAAATGTCGATTGATTACAAAATAACTAATTAATCGCACATTTTTCTGTAATTAATCACACCAAACATAAATATATATATACATATTGTAATACATATTTTATTGTAACTAATGTAAAGATGACATAAAACAGAATATTACAAAAATTAATAGCATATTTTTTACTAAGTATCCATTTCTGGGGTTGAAATGAGTAATAATAGCTATTCAATATCACAGTACAGTTAAAAGCCATCATTGTTGACATTTAATAGGCTTTAAAAAATATATAGCAACTTTAATTTTAAGTTAACTTAAAACAATTTTCACATGAACCCATTATAATAAATGTTATATTAGCGGTGAGCTGTCACTTAGTTATATTTCCACCACTAAATGTATTTTGCTAATTAATTTTCACAGTAAGACATTTACTAGTTAAAACATTTGGTATCTATATTTAATGTGAGGATTGATCCTCTCGATACAATAATGGTATCTAAAGTATTATTTTCGCTCTTACAATGCTCTTACAAGCACATTACTGACAAGATCATTCATCCAGACAGAGCTTGAAACACGCAAGCGTCTTGACCGGCTGATCATAGGATAGGTTTAGATGCTGACCATCCTCGGTTGGCAGAGCTAGGGAGCAGAATAAATAGCGTGATCATATTCCGTAATGCTAGCCAAAGGATGTGAGTAGGCATTTTATTTTTGACAGCTCTTTATTCGCGACTGTACTATATTGTATGTTGTTTAAAAGTCCGTGTTCCGGTTTAACAGGTTGACCTTTTATCTGGTGAAGACTGACAGAGCTCATTTCTGTGTAATTGTCTTATTGCAGCTGAGGTGCGACTAGGCATGGGCCACTGCTTTGTCAAGCTCAGCAAACTAGAGAAAGCTCGCTTGGCATTCGGGCGAGCTCTGGAGCTCAACTCCAAATGCGTGGGAGCATTGGTGGGTTTGGCTGTGCTGGAGCTCAACAATAAAGAGGCCGACTCCATCAAGAACGGCGTGCAGCTGCTTTCCAGAGCCTACACCATTGACCCCAGCAACCCGATGGTGCTCAATCACCTCGCCAATCATTTCTTCTTCAAAAAGGTAAAGCTAGATCCCTCTCGAGATCTACACTTTATAATCGGGAATCGTCTTGTACCTTACTTTATATGTTCTTTGTGGTTTTCAGGATTACAGTAAAGTGCAGCATCTGGCTCTTCATGCGTTTCACAACACAGAGGTGGAGGCTATGCAAGCTGAGAGCTGCTATCAGTTAGCTCGCTCCTTCCATGTCCAGGTAAGAAAGGGACTTCTTTCATTTGAGAAATGGTAAATAACCAGTATGGGTGTATATTTCGTATATGAGAAATCTAACGCATATTTTGAATTTGACTTTTTAAAAAATTATATATATATATATTTGGGCTGTCAGTTAAACGCGTTATTAACGGCGTTAACGCAAACCCATTTTGACTGCGTCACTTTTTTTATCGTGAGATTAACGGTCTTTTTGGCCTAGCAAACTTTGTAGTTTTTTTCACATGCTTTTGCAACAGGACGCGGCATGCGCGAGGACGTTTTTGTTCCTTCGTCGGCCAAAGCGCAAGCGTATCTAGCTAGACCGGAAACAAAACAATAGGCACACCGCATACACTTGTTTGGGCTTGCGAGCCGGCCAAATAGTTGGTTAGCGTTAAGTTTTGAGTGGATGACGAGCGCGAGACGCCGAAATGGATGCCAATAAGATTCTGAATGGAAAGTTTACTTTTAAAAAGTTGCCAAATGGTCCCATTGACAAGACCAAAGCGATCTGTGTGTTTTTTTCATTGTGAACTGAGCTATCATCATCGCAGCACGTCCAGTCTGAAATACCACTTGATGATGGCCAAGCACGCACACACACACACACACACAGCTGATGCGAATTCTCCGCCCCCTCGTCAATATCACGACCTCGTCAGTATTTCTTTCAGCCTTTTATTGATGGACAGTGTTACATTGTGTGAGAGATTATTTGCTACAAGTGAGAATGTTAGTGTGAAATTGAACACAGTATATGTCAATGTTGTTTTCAATAAAAAACATTTGCACAAAGCAAGCCGATCCACTTTTCCATGTTGATAAGAGCATTAAAATGAGAACAAATAATGGGACAAAAAGAAATTAAGAGACATTTAGATTAGATAAAAATGTGCGATTAATTGCGATTAATCGCGAGTTAACTATGACAATAACGCGATTAATCGCAATTAAATATTTTAATCGTTTGACAGCACTAATATATATATATATATATATATATATATATATATATATATATATCTATCTATCGTGTCATGCCTATTTATTTATTTATTTGCTATATAGCCATGTTATATGTGAGATAATATACAGTTAGTTAATAGTGCAAAATAATGACCGTTCAATACAAGTGATACCAGACCTCAACACTCCTGATCATCCTTTTGGCTTCAGCGTTGTTATTGTTAACTAAAACAAACTACTACAAATCTATATATATATATTAGTTTTAGTAATTTTGTTAATTGCTTTTGTTGATTTTATAAGGGTTTTATAGCTTTAATTAATGTTTATCTCAATTGTAGAAATAGTAATACGCATTTTTAGTAATACGCAATTAATTTATTTCAGGTAGTTGTCAAAGCAACATTTCTATGCTTAAATGCTATTCATTTTAATGCTTACATTTTTCATCTAATATTTTATTTCAGCTCAATTTCAGTTTCCAAAACAGATTTGTAGTAGTTTGTTTTAGTTAACAATAACAACGCTGAAGCCAAAAGGATGATCAGGAGTGTTGAGGTCTGGTATCACTTGTATTGAACGGTCATTATTTTGCACTATTAACTAACTGTATATTATCTCACATATAACATGGCTATATAGCAAATAAATAAATAGGCATGACACAATAAATAGATAGATAGATAGATAGATAGATAGATAGATAGATAGATAGATAGATAGATAGATAGATAGATAGATAGATAGATAGATAGATAGATAGATAGATAGATAGAGAGTTTTAGTCAAACTTAAGTATGAAGTGTAATATTCATTTGAAATTTCCTTTCAAATATTTGAAGACTGATAATGTGGACCGAGGCCAAACATGAATTGACCTGGGCTGCGTTTCCCAAAAGCATCGTAAGCCTAAGTTAATCGTAGAGACCATTGGTAATAAACTTTTACACACCTTTGCTTTTAGGAGGACTACGACCAAGCCTTCCAGTACTACTATCAGGCCACTCAGTTTGCTTCATCTACGTTTGTACTGCCCTTCTTTGGCCTGGGCCAGATGTATGTGTATCGTAGAGACAAGGAGAACGCTGCGCAGTGCTTTGAAAAGGTCCTGAAGGCATATCCCAACAATTATGAAACCATGAAAATCCTTGGGTCACTTTATGCCACATCAGATGACCAGGAGAAGAGAGACATTGCTAAAGTATGACATTACATATCAAAAACTGAATTACAAAAATATGCTTTTCTCAGAGATTTATAAGTCTGTTTTTTGTTTTGTTTTTTTACTTATAGGAACATCTGAAAAAAGTCACAGTACAATATTCCGATGATGTGGAAGCCTGGATTGAGCTCGCCCAAATTTTGGAACAAACAGACATTCAGGTAACAGTGCTATTTCTACATGCGCCTGTGTTTTGACTCGTGTGACATACACCTCTCTCACTGTGAATCGCCCATCTTTCCTTGCAGGGTGCTCTATCCGCATATGGCACTGCCACTCGCATCCTTCAGGAGAAGGTCCAGGCTGATGTTCCCCCTGAGATCCTCAATAATTTGGGGGCTTTACACTTCAGATTGGGAAACCTCGGCGAGGCCAAGGTAAAGAGATATTTTTGGCTCAAATTAAAGGTGAAGTATGTTGTTTCTGCGACACTAGTGGCACCTAGCGGACTTACAAAAATAAAACATATTTTCTAACAACCTTGCAAACACCCCTTTCATGTGTAACGCCTCTCCATACTCAAAACATCACAAATAGCTCTTACAGGGTTTGTTAAGGAATGTCTCAACAGGTAAAAATAGGCTACTTTTAATAAACGGTCCAACACATTAGGAATACTTTAGCTGTGTTGCTACGTGTCATGAGTAAGCAATTGACCATTCGGAAAGACCCGGCCCCCTTTAGTTACTGTTGCTATGTCCCGACAAGCCATGCCGCTCTCACGCCACATCATGTTCTCACCCAGTGACAAATACATTGCGGAGGAAAGAGGACACTGAGAGCGTGCTGACAGACAGGACAGAGCTTTTGATATGAAACAAAGTCTCAACTTTCAAATTTGGTAATAAAAAAAAAAGAAAGAAATGTAAACAATAAATACCATTTTGAGGCTGTTTAATGTGTCTGACAGATCGCTGTGGCGCCTCACTTAAAGCTGCTCGTCAACCGATCATCTCTTCCTTCTGTTTCATTTATAGCATCAAATAAACATGAATGAACATCAGAAGGAATGTTGTTTCAACCTTGGAAAGACGTCAGTACACACAGTTTTTCAAGTTCAAATCCACCGACGTTAATCTACTAACTCTCCTGACTGCTTTGTCGGACAAAAATGGTGGATGGCCTATTATGATTGGTCAGATCTCCTGTCAATCAAACTCCCTGCGAAGGGTGAATTGAGTAGACTAACTCTGTCTTGAGTGAACGCGAGCGTCTCTCTTATATAAACTAGTGCTGCACGATTAATCGAATCGCAATCGTAATCTCAAAGCTATGCGATTATATAACGCAAAATGCCGCGATTTTATATGAACACAGCCTCTCTTCTTCTTTGTCATCCTTTGACTAGTGTTACATGATCCCGCTCTTATTCGTGCAAATGCCTTAAAACCATTTTGCACGACAAGAAGTCAAAAGAGAGCGCGCTGCCTGTGAATGTCCTGAATGTGACTCAGAAAAACGCGCGCCAGTATAATGCGCATGCACAGACCGCATGCAGTTCTCTTTTGAGCTTGAACGAACAATAACACACACAATTATGCCAAAATGTCGTTTTGTCGATTATCTTCATAACATAAGAGCAGTCTTATGATGGACAAAAAGAGTTGTGCTTGTGAGAGAATGAGGCGCGTGAGAGATCCGCCGCGTCTCGGCAACGGCTGCTCTTAAAGGGCCGGCAGCGAATAAAGCGTTCCGTCAGTAAAGTTAATCAAAGAACAAAGGGAACAGAAAATTACTCACTGTTCTTGACTAAACAAGATTTGTGGGTTTAATAAGGATTAGTCTACATATATAATTTATAATTCATGCAGCGCAGACTGTTTGATAACTTTATTCAATTTCTGTATATAAATCTGTATATAAATCCTCGATCCTACCTGTTAAGACAGGAAGGGCACAGGTAAATATGGCATTTATTATGGGTTTATGTGTGGATTGTTTGAAGTTCATTTAATTTAAAAGCTGTTATTATTATTTTTTAAGCCTAATAAATATTTTAAAAGTTGATAGCTTTCAATTGTATTGATGGAATCACTGTAATGTTGGATGGCTATAATTAACGTTTAAAATGTGGGGGGTGTCGTCATTTTTATCCAGACATCAATGGTTTATTGATCATTATAGGTGTTATCAATCATTTAGTTGTTGTTGCTAGTTTGAGTTGAGAAATACACATTAATACACAGAATGATCACTAATCTGTGTGTGCATTTTACTTTAGAACCAAGCAAGTTGACTCATGAAACCATTTGTTTATTATATCGCAATCGCAATATTGACCTCATTAATCGCAATATGACATTTTCCCCAAATCGTGCAGCCCTAATATAAACCCATAAAACGTATCTGCACCAGGCGCATTTTATGACATGACACGCGGTGCCACAACTGTTTGAGTCTTTCTAAACTGGACACATCAAAGTAAACATCACGAACTGTACAATTGTCTTTCTGAACGGGTGCATGATGATGTTGTATGGTATTGAAGTGTCCATTGTTGCATGTTGCATCTTGCATTTTGACATGTTCTTGACCTGTTTAATCTTCGAAGGTGGAATTTTGGCTTGCTCTTCTGTAACCAAAGCTGAATTTCTTTTCCCATGTAACTCATCAGTCATTGGCTAAACACCCTCTGGCTCCGCCTGCTAGCCACGCCTCCAAACTCTTGCTCAGGGTTCTCAAGTCTCACGCATTGGCGGTGAGACACATGCAATTCAACCAGTTCACACGCTCACACGCCACACCGTATATTTCTCACGCTGAAAAGGCAATGCCAACCAAGTTGTCCTGCAAGCTTTATATAACGTTGTATACGAGGCGCAGGCACACAAAGTGAAGTGTCCTGCTGCCAGCGCGTCCGTATCTCGGCCAGATTGCGTTCGTTACTAGGCAACATAGATGCGCGAACACACGGAAGTTGACGGAACATTCTCGGTCATCGCGCGAACGTACGCACGCACACACATTCTCGGCCACCGTACGTTCGTTACTAGGTAACCAACAATATCGCGCGAAAACACGTCGTGATGGAGAAGGTAAGCTGGAAGAAAGCTCGTCTAACATTTTTAGGCTAGAACATTTAATATATAGCCAATCGTATACATTATTATTGATGCAGTCAAAAACTCTACAACTACTTTGCAACCAAGCCAGAAGCTTTTGCTAAGGGAAATGTTAGTGGGTATGGGAAGGAATGAAGTTTATTGAAGAATTGAATTTTATTTTAAATGATATATTATACTGTATTAATAGTCTTTCTAGTTACATTAAGGCTACATAAGGCAGAGTGCTCTGGGTAATATTTTATATCCTGTCAAAACATACATTAATCATTGCCATTGCATTTGTATTTTTCAAAGATGTCAGGGAAAAATGCAAAAAAGATTTGTTTTTCCAAACTGTTTGGAGCAATTTGTTATATTTTAGTAATTTTGAAATATAACATTAAAGACTATATTTGATGTGATGAATTGCTCTGTCATTTATCAGATTTACCAATTGTTATAATTTTAATTTGTGCTGGTTAATTATGAACAATGGGTCAAATTGGGGGGTGGGGTCGAGGGTGGGCGGGGCTCCACTGTGGCTCCTCCCCTTGGGCTCCTCCCCTAACCGCATGTGATCTCACTCCAAGCTTTTGATAAAACTTGAGAACCCTGCTCTTGCTATAGGTTGAGCTAGAAAGATTTTGACAGATCTGAGCAGACACTCTTAATGTTTTGATGGTGCCTGGGAGGCTCGATGTGTATACTTTTGAGGGAGATAAACCTATGAATAGCATACTAATAGTAGTCAATAAACAACAAACTGAATTGAGGAAATGTATTTGACTTCACCTTTAATTAAAGGAATGTTCTGGTTCTGCTGTTGATTACCTCAGAAATTACATTTGACTAAATTATTGGAATGGAATGTCTTGGACGATTTGGTTGTGGAAAGAAAGCATAATGAATGCATTAAATAAGTCAATCACACATCTCAATTTCTTTGTAGAAATACTTTCTGGCTTCTTTGGAGAGGGCAAAAGCTGAGGGCGAGCACGATGAGCACTACTACAACGCCATCTCTGTCACAACCTCCTATAACCTGGCCAGACTCTATGAAGCCATGTGCGAGTTTCACGAGGCTGAGAAACTCTACAAGAACATCTTGAGAGAACATCCCAACTATGTGGACTGTATGCATCATGACAGAGTATTGATTTTGTGTGGCTTTGTTCAAAAAACAGTCCACTCATTTGTCTAATTTGATTTTGTAACAGGTTACTTGCGTCTTGGAGCGATGGCGCGTGACAAGGGAAATTTCTACGAAGCTTCTGACTGGTTTAAAGAAGCCCTTCAGATCAACCAGGTAGATAGTTCTTGCCCCCATACATATGCCTACATATACTGTCATTCTTCTGGATCTGTGTTCATCTAAAAAGGCAAAAAGTTGCAAAAAAGGCCTGCAAGCAACAACAAAAAAGCAAATGTGAGAAAAACCACAGCTGTACTTAGGACTTTCAGTCACAAAATGACCTTCTTAACGCCAGGTGCAAGAGTCTCTTAAACAAAGAAAAATCACATGGTTGTAAACGGCACATGGTGACCAAAAATCACATGGAAAAAACAATTATTAGTAGTCATCTTTCCTTGGAATTCTGTATGGTTTGAGAGGAATTGTGTACTATAACAGGGTTTCTCAACCTTTTGCCTACTGCGACCCACTTTAGCGACACAATACTACTTTGCTGTCTTTTAAGTAGGTCTCGCTTTCGTACAAAGTAATCCACAGGTTTACCCACACATGTTGGATGTTTAGTCTGTAGGTGACGTTCAAGTTTGGATGGCTTCATGGACTCATTTGCCAAGACCTCACCACACTCGACACACTGTGGTTTTTCATCTGAAGAAGTAAATCCATATTTAATATAGTCCGGGTTGTACTTGCGTTGTTTACATTTTGCTGCCTTTGAAGTTGAAGGAGTTTCCGAATCTTCTGCTTTTTTTCTTTTTAAAAACGGATGCATTTTGTCAAGCTAACAGGCCGTGGCTGCGTATAATTTAATAATAAGGTCTGGCATAGCAGGTAGGGCTAGTGTGTGTAACATTATGTAAATATAGTAGGACCTTGTCCAATAAGAGCCTTTCGCGGCAATAATAAATTATTTTTAAGGATAGTTGAAATACAGCGTTAGAAGCCACGGCAATAATGAAGTACGACATTCGAAAATCAGATTCGTTGGAGGACTGGACTTTTGTTTCAATCTGTGCGCGTTTATATGATTAGGTGTTAGGGCTTTTTAGTCCGATTGAGCCACCAATGTGTTTACTAACGGATTATTTTGTTGCACTTGCACGTATTGCAATGAGCCTATTGTGAAGCCCACTGATTGGCTGTGCTAGTGAACACTGAAGTCTTGCGACCCACCGGTTGAGAAACCCTGTACTATAACATTTGTATTCTCAGTTGAATATTAAATTATCAATAATCATTACACACACACAGATATATATATGTAATGTTTTTTTTTCTGTTTTATAGTGTGTGGGCCTTTTTTAACTTTTAACTACGCTCCTAGACTTTTTGTACTTTTTTAGGTGCGCTGAGTTTTTGGTGATTTCTTCAGATATGTAATAATAAAATGTGTTTCGTAAAGGACCACCCTGACGCCTGGTCGCTGATTGGTAACCTGCACTTGGCCAAACAGGAGTGGGGACCCGGCCAGAAGAAGTTTGAACGCATCCTTAAACAGCCCTCTACTCAGAACGACACCTACTCTATGCTGGCGCTGGGAAACGTGTGGCTTCAGACGCTGCATCAGCCCACTAGAGACCGAGAAAAGGTGCCTTGCGGTATTCAGTTGACAAACCATCAATTGTTTCCTGAATTTGTTTGTTTTATTTACTCTTCTTTTTTTTTTTCACAGGAAAAGCGGCACCAGGATCGAGCTTTGGCAATTTACAAACAAGTTCTGAGGAATGATGCCAAGAATCTATATGCTGCCAATGGAATAGGTGCTTTATCTGCTTTTTAATTAGCCTTGCAAGACCTGGGGCCTCATTTATAAAACTTTGCGTAGGATTTGCGTCAGAAGTGGCGTACGGATGAAACATAGGACGTGCGTACGCACAGAAATATTCGGATTTATAAAACCGTGCGCACGCACATCCTACGCATTTTTCCCTTAATAAATCACAATCAATTCTAAATGTAGCGCAGCTTTTGCGGCTTCATGTCACGCCCATAGTTGCCCATAAATAGTCCGTGAAACGCCCACAAGTTAATATTCATCGATTGCGAAACCATGGCAAACATAGAGAGGAAATCAAAAAAACGTAACTTCACTCAAAGTGAAGTAGAAGTTATCGTTGGCGAGGTGGAAAAGAGGAGAAAAATGTTGTTTGGAGGGCACAGTGTGGGCATTAGCTACTAATGCCAAAAAGGCACTTGAGTGGCAAAAGGTTGCAGACGCCGTAAATGCTGTAGCCTCACAACCTCGGACTGTGGCCGAAATAAAAAAGAAATGACAAGCTACAGATGTCGGTTATAATCTACTTGGAAATGGGAAATAGTTCAGCGCAAATGTAATTTCTTGCAGCTTTCTGAATGGTTGAGACATACGTCATACGTTATTTTATCAAAAATAAAACAAACTGAAGGCATATGCATGAAATACCTGCATGAATACCATTCCGTAGCTGATGAAGACATTTTTACTATGAAAACAACTTTCCCAGTGGACAAATAATACATCTATCTATTTATCTATCTATCTCTCCCTAATTATCTATCTGACTGACTATCTAGCTATATTTAGCTATATCTAGCTATATCTATATCTGCTCCGCCAGACGGACACATTGGCGAGAATATCAGTTTTGTACATTATTTCGTTCTGTTTACCATCTTATTTATGAGGATGAATTGTATAACATGCCAATATTATTGCAGAACATATTTCACTTTTCTTTTTGCAAATATGTGTTAATTTGCATTTCTGTTGCAGATCGATCAAACGGGTGTTCGTGTAGGCTGTTAATTGTAAGACTTGCTTTGTGACGTCTTTGTGTTATTTATGAGAGGCAGTATTGCCATTTATTTTACACAACGGTCTACAGTTTCACACACTTTCACGTGTTTCTTCCATCTGCCGACGGTGTCGCCATTTCTCATTTCACCCGTTTTTGTGCGTACGCCTGGGTCAGAGCTTGCGTGAAGGACCGCACATTTTCCCGTCAAGTTTGCTTTTTATAAATACCAATTATTGCGTAGAGAGCGGCGTACGCCTTCTTTTGTGCGTACGCAACGTTTATAAATGAGGCCCCAGACCCGTAACTAGCACTATAAACATACGCCGTTTACACCTGGTATTTGGTGGATCGGGTCACAGGTGAACTACACTAAATACAGGTGTAAACGGGGTCTAAAACAATTTCAACTTGTCCACTGTCGACCACTTCCAGAGGTAGTGGAAAACGCATGTGACCGGATTGGTTGAACGTGGACTTGTGTTTACCCATCACTCTGCTTCAGCTCATCGTGAGCATGTTTCTGCTGTGTGACGCAGGCGCTGTGCTGGCACATAAGGGTTATTTCCGAGAGGCACGGGATGTCTTTGCCCAGGTCAGAGAGGCCACAGCAGAGATCAGTGATGTCTGGCTGAATCTGGCACACATCTATGTGGAGCAGAAGCAGTACATCAGTGCTGTGCAGATGGTGAGAGCACAGACTGAAGGAAAACTCCTCTGAACAGGAAGGGTTTCGCTGTGGATCGGTACTCACCGCCTGTTTTTCTCCTCAGTATGAAAACTGCTTGAAGAAATTCTACAAATATCAGAACACAGAGGTGTTGCTGTATCTGGCCCGAGCGCTCTTCAAATGTGGCAAGCTGCAGGAGTGCAAGCAGACTCTTCTCAGGGTGGGGAAATCTTCATGCAACTTGGGATTTTCTTTTCTTTAATGCAGGGTTTGCCAAACTGGATTTCGCAAGTATATGAAAAGCAAATCATTCAATTATAAATTTTCAAATGAAAATGATCAAAATATAAAATCTAAAGAAAATTGTTGGTAACACTTTACTTGAAGGGGTGTGCATAAGACTAACATGACACCTTCATAATCATGACATGACACATGTTATGAATATGAAGGAAGATTTATGCATGTTTATGACAACTGTCATTAAGTGTCATTCGCTCAATTATGACATTTTTAATGCAAATATGACATTGTTTGAAATGTCTTTGTTATGACACCTTGACATAAACCAATACATCATAACCTGTCAGTGTCTTTGTCATGACAACTTGACATTACTAAGACAACACAACCTGTCATAAACATGACCTAGCAGATTAATTATCAAACTTAAGAAACCACTTAGCTTTATTGGTTAACATTACATTAAACTGTCAGGTGGTTGGTGTTGACATTGGCTGTCATGAAGCCATTATAACTGTTTAATGACGAATTCAATTTGTACCACTGTAGTTGAGGTCACGAAAAATATTCATGACACAGTTATAATGGCCTCATGACAGCCAATGTCAAAACCAACCACATGACAGTTTAACTTAATTTAATGTCAAGTTGTCATGACAAAGACACTGACAGGTTATGATGTTATGGTTTATGTCAAGGTGTCATAACAAAGACATCTTAAACAATGTCATATTTGCATTCAAAATGTCATTATTGAGCGAAAGACACTTAATGACAGTTGTCATAAACATGCATAAACCCTACTTCATATTCATGACATATGTCATGTCATGGTTATGAAGGTGTCATATCAGTCTTATGCACACCCCTTCAAGTAAAGTGTTACCAAATTGTTCACCTGCATGTCATGTGACCATTGACCAACAAATTATTGAAATATTGTTTTAAAAGTAAGTATTTCAGGTAAAAAAAAAAAGGGAATCTCTGCTTTACTACAGTGACTCTAGGTTTTATTTGTCTTGTATTATAAATCAGGCTGCCGCATATTATTATATGTCAAATAACCTATATTATTAAGCTAAATAAGGTTATATTGTTTTTTTAGTATGTTGCATAATTCAGTACCTAGTATTGAACAATTAATTTGACGCGTTGCATGTTAAGTTATATTTAAAAGATGAACCCAATGCACTAAAACAATGTGCAGTTTGAAAATAAATAATGTGATTTTTTTTCCATCACATTAATATGTGATTAATGCCCCCAAAATGTATAATGGTTATTTTTTTATGAATATTGTATTAAGTATAATTAATTATTTAGATTTGATATCTATAAGCAGTCCTAATCGTGAATGTTTCTGACTTGTTTTTCTCTCAGGCTCGTCATGTGGCTCCCAATGACTCCGTGCTGCTGTTTAACGTGGCGCTGGTTCTGCAGAGGTTGGCCACGCTGGTGCTGAAGGATGAGAAGAGTAATCTGAAGGCTGTGTTGAGTGCAGTGAAAGAGCTGGAGTTGGCTCACAGGTGTGTGTGTGTGTGTGTGAGCTCCATGACCTCCAGCCTGTGACGCACTACAGCCTGAGGCTTTCATACGCTTCTTTAATATTGTTCTGTTGTTGTTCTCACAGGTACTTCAGCTACCTCAGTAAGGCTGGAGACAAAATGAGATTCGACCTGGCGCTGGCCGCGAGCGAAGCCAGGTAGGGTTGCTTTATCCAGATATACGTGACTTTTGTTCTGAAAGTTTCGTCTTACAGCGTGATTCAGACAAATGGGATCCGAAGACTCCCAAGAACTGCGTGACAACAAAATCCCAGCCAGTCTGAAAATATTTCATGCTTAATGTTTGTTTATATGTTTTTAAATAGATGCGTATATATATATATCCATTTTCCGTTCGTGCGTTCATTCCTTCCTTCGATCGTTCGTTCCATCCATCATGGTTCTTTTGTTCAATCCTTCCTTCAATTCTTCATCCCTTTCTTCATTTGTTCTTTCTGACCTGGTTTCACACACAGGGTTTAGATTAAGCCAGGATTAGGCCTTAGTTCAATTACGGCATTTAAGTAGCTTAAGTAGTAGTAAACATTACTGATCTGAACAGATCTGTCAGTGCAAGTTGCTTTCAGTTAAAACAGCTCAAAGATGCATTTTAGTCTGGGACTAGACCTAGATCTGTGAAATCGGGATCTGTTTTTTTGTTTGTTTTTGGAACAGAAAGGTTGATTTTTGAAGGCTTTTGAATGACTTGAGGGAATAAATGATGACAGGGATCTGATTAGTGTACATCTATGTTCTCTCTCTCAGGCAATGCTCTGACTTGCTAAGCCAGGCTCAATACCATGTGGCCCGAGCTCGTAAACAAGACGAGGAGGAGAAGGAGCATCGCGCCAAACAGGAGCTGGAGAGAGACACACTGCGGCAGCAGGTGATGAAAGAACAGGAGGAGAGGAAGAGCAGAGTGGCTGAGGAGCAGAAGAAGCTGCTTGAGCAGAGAGCCCAGTATGTGGAGAAGACCAAGAACCTGCTCACCTTCTCAGAGGGAATGAAAGACTCGGCAAAGGAGAAGAGGAAAGGAGGCAGCGGACGGGTGAGCTTTTTTAAAGAGCTAGGATCTAAGTCATTAAAAATGTCAAAAAAAAAAAAAAAATCTTTTTAAACCCGTTTACTTATTTTCTTTTTTTATTAGCGCAAAAAGGGAGGCGATTTTGATGACTTTGTCAATGATGACTCTGATGAAGACCTGCCAATGAGGAAGAAGAAGAAGAAGAAAGTTGGGAGCGGCAGTGAAGTTGAGGACGCAGGAGAGGATGGAGAGAAGAAACCCCGGAAGAAGAGGAGGAGGTAAACATTAATGAGAGCGGTGGTGGTTATTTTAGCATTATTCATATACCTTTATAGTTTGTATTAATATTATGAATGGGCTTTTTTATTTTTATACTCTGTTTGAATTTTATTGTTAGTTAAAAAGTAAATTTTATGTGCTTTTGTCATTTTTATTCGTTTTTTTTTTTTATATCACTGTAGGTTTCAGTTATAGTTTTAGTTCAGCATTAGTTTTGATTTATTTCATTTCTAGTTAGTAGTTTTAGTGCTTGAACTTAAACTAAACAAAAATTAGAAATGCTGCCTTGGCAACTAATTGATAAAAATGTTCATCTCATTTTATTTCAGTTAACAACTTATTATTATTTTTAGTTAATGATAATACAGGCGAAACTCGAAAAATTAGAATATCGTGGAAAAGTTAATTTATTTAAGTAATTCAACATAAAAGGTTAAACTAATATATTATATGGACTCATTACATGCAAAGTGAGATATTTCAAGTATTTGTTATAATTTTGATGACTATGGCTTACAACTTATGAAAACCTTTTCACAATATTCTAATTTTGAATTTGGGGTTTTCATAAGCTGTAAGCCATAATAAATAAAGGCTTGAAATATCTCACTTTGCATGTAATGAGTCTATATAATATATTAGTTTCACCTTTTAAGTTGAATTACTGAAATAAATGAACTTTTGCACGATATTCTAATTTTTCGAGTTTCACCTGTAACCCAGGTGGAACATAAAGGGCGAGTTTTTAGGTTGCTCACAATTCAGAGAATCAAAATGCAATCACAAAATGATTTTTTTAACAACGGTATGAAGGTGCCAGGTGCGGACACATTTACACTCGCTAAGCACAGTTTCATGGGCGAAATCCATTCATTTTTGCGTTGAACTTTGTATTTGTTCGTTTTTTTGTCATCTAATTGAATGGTTATAAATTACATACATTTAATTATGAGTTAAATATTTGTAAATTATGTTAATAATATTAATAATTCTTTTTCTGATCCCTAGTGATTGTAGTTAAACCCGACTCAAGCTGGGCCAGGTTGAGTTTCAGTGTGTTTCTCTTGTTGCTTCCACAGACCCGCTGGTTCAGATGATGAGGAAGGAGGCTCAAGGCCTAAGAAGCAGCGCAAACCCAGAGAGCGCAAGAGGGCCGAGAAGGTACAGATGCTCTGCGGGAGACATGCAGGTGTTCCCTGGATGTAGAGATTTACATCTAATTGCTTTTTTCTTTTTTCAAGTCCAAGCCGGAGCGCATGCCGCCATCTCTTAAAGGGAAGATCAAGTCCAAGGCCATCATTTCATCCTCCGATTCCTCCTCCGACGAGGATGGCCTGAAAATAGCAGAGGACAGGTAAGAGATGATGGTCACTCGAGCTCGGCATGACCTGGAAATCCACCCTGTATATTTCCTCCATGCATGCGTTTCATTTTTAAATGAACCTGTTAACCGTCACACATAGATCTGAAGTTAAACGCTTGTATTACCGTAATTAGAGCTTCACGATTAATCATTAACAGTTGTCATGTGTAGGTATTAAACAGCTTGACAATCACACATCTTTTCAACATCACAGTATCAGTATTTCTGTTACAAATATTCATATTATTAGAGATTGCATCATTACGGTGACGATACGTAACTGTTAAAAAAGGTATTTCATTGAATCAGATTCGTTCAAAAAATGCTATAAGTGGAATCATTCATTCAAAACTATTTAAAAAAAATAATTAATTCAGATTAATTAAACATTTTATATAAACTGCAGCAATTAACATTTTGTCAGAACCTCTAGTAAATTGTGTTATTTTTAGAGCTGTCAGTTAAACGCGTTATTAACGGCGTTAACGCAAACCCATTTTAACGGCGTCAATGTTTTTTATCGCGCGATTAACGGTCTTTTTGGCCTAGCAAACTTTGTCATTTTTTCACATGCTTTTGCAAAAGGACGCGGCATGTGCGGCGCTGCGCTATGAAACCATTCATTTCAATGGCTTGCGCCGCGCTAGGACGTTTTGAAAGCGCAAGCGGATCTAGCCAGACTGGAAACAAAACAACAGGCACGCTGCACACACTTGTTTGGGCTTGCGAGCCGGCCAAATAATAGGTTAACGTTAGGTTTTGAGTGGATGACGAGCGCGAGACGCCGAAATGGATGCCAATAAGATTCTGAATGGAAAGTTTACTTTTAAAAAGTTGCCAAATGGTTCCATTGACAAGACCAAAGCGATCTGTGTGTTTTGTCGTTGTGAACTGAGCTATCATCATCGCAGCACGTCCAGTCTGAAATACCACTTGATGATGGCCAAGCACGCACACACACACACACACACAGCTGATGCGAATTCTCGGCCCCCTCGTCAATATCAGGACCTCGTCAGTATTTCTTTCAGCCTTTTATTGATGGACAGTGTTACATTGTGTGAGAGATTATTTGCTACAAGTGAGAATGTTAGTGTGAAATTGAACACAGTATATGTCAATGTTGTTTTCAATAAAAAACATTTGCACAAAGCAAGCCGATCCACTTTTCCATGTTGATAAGAGCATTAAAATTAGAAAAATGAATGGGACAAAAAGAAATTAAGAGACATTTAGAATAGATTAAAATGTGCGATTAATCGCGAGTTAACTGACAATAATGCGTTTAATCGCGATTAAATATTTTAATCGTTTGACAGCACTAGTTATTTTATGTAGTTGTCTGATCAGAATCTGGGGAGAATAGTGATCTCTTTGAAACAAAAAAAATCGTGATTCTCAGTTTATCCAGAATCGTGCAGCTCTAGTTGTAATTCATGAGTGCTTTGGAATACTGACCTAATGTTGGTCTCTCTCTCTCTTTTTAAAAAAAAATACATATTATAAATATGAAGAAAAAACAAAACCCTAAACTTGGTTATTTCTGACAAAATAATTTGGCAAAAAATGCAAACTACAGCTAAAAAGTGCATAGACAAAAAGCTCACGGAAAAAGCTTACTACCACAACATAATCCGTTATTAATATTTCATTGGTTCTCTCTTGTTTTTGCATGGTTTCATCATTTCTTCGTATGACAGCCTGGTCAAAATTATGTCCAAAATCTCTACCGGTATATCGCCCACCCCTATGTCACAGAGGAAAAAAGTCATTACTTCAGTTTCAACGCGACTTGAAGCTTATTTATTTCCTAATGTTGTGTATTTTATGTCCAGAAACACCAGGCACAGCGGCTCGGGTTCAGACGACGACGAAAGCCACAGGAAACGCATCGCTTCTGACAGCGACTCCAACGAGGAGCGGAACCGATCCGGCAGCGAGGCCGGCAGCCCCCAGCGCTCTGCAAACTCAGACGAGGACGAGTCGGGCAGTGATCGTCCGGTGAAGAGGAGGAGACCGCAGCAGCAATCCGACTCCGAGCAGTCGGAGAACGAGAGCAAAAAGAGCCGCTCCGAAGGGTCTGATGATGAATCCCCGGCTGGTTCCCCGGCTGGTTCTCCGGCTGGTTCCCCGGCTGGATCACCGGCCCCGGCGTCAGATCGGGGCTCAGAGAACGAGGGCTCTCCGCAGAGGTCCGATAACGAATCTGAGCCCGAGGGGTCCAACAATGAAGCCTCCAACAGAGGATCTGATGACGACAGTGACTGAAATTACTGAGCGTTCGCTCTGTTGGGGAAAACGAAAAGCCTTTGTTCTTGTAATGGTCAGATCATAGCGTACGGATGTTTCTCAGATTTTAGGTTTTTTTTGTAATGTTTTTTTTTTTTTTTAAAGAGAACGTGTTTTCTGTTTAGTCTTTTGAGTAAGAAATGTTCACAACATCTTTAACAGATGTTTTTGATGAGCATTACGGCATATATTGTGCTATGTGATCTTAAGGGACAATCACACACTGTGATTAGAGTTGGTGTACAATATGAAATCCCTTTGAATAAAAAGTATTTTGAAAATGTTTTCTATTTTGTCTTGTTTGGAACTATTGCGGTTTGTTTATTTTTTTATATATTTTTTTTACATATTCTGAATTTGAAGCCTATTTGCAACACAAATATGAAATTGCGCGCACACACATGTTTCTTTCACTATATTAGTGAGGACATTCCATAGAGGATTTTATAGTAGGTTAATTATATTTTCTATGACCTAGCAAAACACTGGATCTAACCCTAACTCACACCTATAGCTAGCCTACTATAGTCTTCATAACCTGCAAGTTATTAATTATTTAATTAATTTCCTTTGCCAATGTCATAATACGAGGAACAACCAGGCCTAGTGAGGGTCAAATGTCCTTTGTATGAGGAGCCAATGGATTCACAAGGTAATTTTTATTGGTTAAATATTTGTTAAACCCACAGACAGAAGTAATGGGTAAACAATAGTGGATTTATGAAAAATAAATAAAAATGTTGAAAGATTCCTGACAGCGACGATATTTAAATTGAAATAATAATGAAAAAATATATTATCCAATTTCTCTCTCTCTCTCTATATATATATATAAATATATTTGTACATTGTATACATTTATTTGTTAAAATTATAAAAAATTTTAACTATTGTTTTAAAATGTCATGTATTCATTTGACAGCATTGCTGAATTTTCATCCATTCTTCAGTTACATGATCCTTCAGAAATCATCCTAATATGTTGATTTTGCTTATCAATGTTGCAAACATTGTGCCAATACATATTTTCCAGGATTCTTTGATAAATAGAAAGTTCAAATGAACATTAAAAATGTCTAAACTATTTTTTTTAAAACAATTGAATGCATACTTGTTGAATAAAAGCATTCATTTCTTTAAAAAAATAATAATATTTGAACAGCATGATGCAATTAATCTGCCAGCGTGACTTTTTTCCCCTCATACTTTATTAGAAAACGTTTCCAACATGGCATCAATAATACAATAATAGCCTAACTATTAAAAGCATTGCACAATACGAATGAGAAAGATACATAAGAACTACAGAAAAACAAGATTAAAATGAACATCTTTAAAAAAAACGTACATAAAGCATTATTTATGGGGCGTCTCATATACCACCAATACAGTATATTTAGACTTACAACCATAACATTGCATTTCCAATTAGGGATTCTAAGCATTGTTTTACTCTTGAATAAAGAAACATTTGTGAATCACTGCGCAAGAATACATTATCAGATTACAAAAGTCGTGACAGTATGAATTCGGTTGATATTCGGGTAAACGCTGAGCGGTGTTCAAAAACTCTGGAATTGAGCACAAAAATAAGAACTGAAGTGATATCAGTTATAAACGTAATAGAGGTTAAAATTAGTCCTCATAACTTTCATCCAGAAAAAAAGAAAAAAGAATTTTCCATTTCCAAGTCACCAATTATTTTTAAACTGGAAGATTGACCGAGAAAAGTTCATGGTTCCACATATCCACGCACAAGCACACATTAAAATAAGGCCAAATAAACGCTGGTGTGTAACTTTATTGAAAGCAACAGTGGTACATTGAACATTCTGAGCTCTTGCACCTTTACAGTAACACTTGAAACAGCAAATCATTGTACAGATGCCACGAGTGGGTCACCATTTGTTGTCCTACCTAATGATAAAGCTTCGACTTCCCCCTCATGATTAAATAAATATGTATACTATCCATAGACATCATGGGAAAACATTAGGTTGTAAAACGGTGATCCGTAAATTGAACATCCATAACAAATCTCGTTTCATCTTTATTTTACCAATTAAAATGCATTAAAAAAAATATGACACATTTCTGTTCGGATCAAAGCGTCGCATCTAAACAGGCTGTGTTTGGTAATCCCTGAACATGCTGTAAAGAAAAAAAAAATAATAATTCAAGTATCAGCTTGACAAGTAGTGGAGGGGACGAATATGGTTGAGGCAAAAAAAAAAAAAACACGTTTTAAAAAAAGGCCGCATAATTTCATCTCTCCCACATGGCTTTGTTCATTATTATAAGACATAGGAGGGAAGGGGACAAAAAAAAAAATCATCATCATGACATTTTACAATCATAACAACTGGAGAGTAAACCATTTTTCAGACTCGAGCACCTTGCAGACCTTGAGTTTTCATTCGACTCCAACACACACCGCATACTACGCCCACTACTGTGAGGTATGAACAAAGCATTGATGTAACCAATGATTACTGAGGATTCTTTGTAACAAACAAAAGTGAATATTGCAGTAACTCAAAATATGACACTTGAGCAAAAGTGCATTTCTATATTTTTGTGCTGAAATGAACAGCAGCAGAAAAGGCTCTTGCAAACGCATGTTCTTAAAAGCAAAATATATAAAAAAGAGAAACCGATGCAGTTTCGAGCTGTTAATACCATTTATCTGAGGTGGTTCTTAGTCACTACATGCTTTACACGACGAGGTCAAAGAGAAGCGTGACGCAATACGTTGGCTTGGCACTGCAGAAAACAGCAGCGCGGCGGTTAATACAAGTGAAAGAGGAGATGGTGAAACTAAACGGGAGAGATGACACAGGCGAGTACATCAAGGCTTTGGCTGGTTCTTTAGTCAGCTTCCTCTTCAGACTCTTCCTCTTCTGCCGTCTCCAGCCAGGTGAGCCACTGGTTCACCTAAACAACAGCAAAAGAAAAGAAAATCATGGAAATGGCGCGTCTTCCGATGAAAGGGTGCCGTAGGGAGAATCGTGCTGCGCATTACCTGAAACAATGCTTTTCCTTTCCCTGGAAACTCCTGGGTAATATCTTCTTTCCATGCTAGGAAGGCCTCTTCTTCAATTATCTCCATATCATAAAAGTTTACAAAGTAGCGCAGTAACATTCCTAAGGAGACGAGAGACGATTCAAAACAAGACGAGCATTTCCTCTCGTTACTTCAAATCTCTCAGGAAACACTCACACACATTTAGACCGAGGAATTACAATCGCTATCATTCTGTAATAAAATAATAAAAAGAAACATAACATACGAATGGACTTTATTAACAAACTAAAAATAAGTACTAAAAAAGTACTTTATTTTTTAGAACAATTAGGGCCGTCAAACGATTAATCGCATCCAAAATAAAAGTTTGTGTTTACATAATATATGTGTGTGTGTGTACTGTGTATAATTATTTTGTATATAAATGCACACATGTATATATTTAAGAAAAATATATAAAATGTTTATATTTATATAAAATATACATTATATATAGGCTACATTCAGTCTATATACATGCAAATATTTCTTAAATACACATGCATGTGTGGGTATTTATGTATTAAAAATAATTATACACAGTACACACACATATATTATGTAAACACAAACTTTTATTTTGGATGCGATTTTTGGATGTCCGGCGGCATGCCCCCCCGGGAGAAAATTTTGTACATTTTGAAGATAAATTCATTAATCTGGTGCACTTTGAGTCACTCGAATCTGTTGTTAAAAATAAATAATAATCCACCCGCCAACCACCCATATTCTTTGATTTAGATATTTGCATCTGATCATCACATTACAATTATTCAATTAAGCATGATAATATGGTAACATATCACACAATTAACATTTATTTAAATTAAAAGTTCTTCTTTAGGCAAAATTTCATTTTCTTTATAGCCTAAACAGAGGCTTTACTCCCTTTAAACTTATTGTCAACGTTTCATTTTTGAAAACACTCTTATCGGAATAATTTTTTTTTCCTTTATAAAGGGCATTTTCCCCCTAATTTTATTTAATGTATGCTCTAAATTTCATTTAAAATTCTTACATTTTATCAATACATTCAATTAAAATAATAAGACACTAGGCTGTTACCAATCAAATTAAATAATTTACATTAAAAAAATATTAAAAATAATCTCATTTAATACAGTTATAATTTTTCTATGTTGAAAAGAATGATACTTTGAAACTAAACCGCCAGTAGGAGGCGGCAGGCGGCCGTCTTAATGAGCGAGTCATTGAGTCATTCATGTAAACGATTCGTTCAAACGGCTGATTGATTCAGAATGAGGCGGTTTAATAATGGGCAATTGAATCTTTGACTCAAGCGATTAGTTCAAAACGCTGAATGATTCAGTAATGAATCATGGATGAGTGTTGCTGTGAGACGCGATATGGTTCTGTTGTTTGGAACTATTTTCGCTGCTAAAACAGAACAAAAACAGTCTAAAAATGTAAGTAACTTAATTTTAACTATTTGTTTATTGAACTGTTATGAAATGAATATCTCGGTTTCAATCGTGATGGCATTCAGGAAGACAGCACTCTGGTCATGTGTAGCCTATATATTGTTTCTTAACTATAATTAATGTTATAAATAACTGCGCGAAACTCAACAGCGCAACTTTGTTACCGTCCGTACATTAGGTACCATGATGGGAGTTCCGTGTCTTTATTACACTCATTTAGCTGTCATCCACCCTCGATTGAATGGAATGTTTTTATTACTCGGCCCGCTCGACCCGCGGATTATGATCCGTGCGGCACTATCGGCAAACTACACGGTTAGAGAATGGACACAAGCGGGAATCGCGACAGAACGGTCACGGTGGAAAAAGTGTATATGAGCACGTGACTGTCTGTCCGAGTTTTGTTGAGAGGCGGAACGAAATTTGACGGAGGCGGCCGCCTCATAATTGTCTATGCAGGAAAAACCCTGGCGATTAATCGTTTGACAGCCCTAATAACAATATAAAACAAGCAATAAATAATGTATTATAAGATATAATTCTCTATTTATTGAATATATTTATTTGTAATAATTGTTTTTATTACTTTAAAATAAAACATGAAATACAAAAAAATGCATTTAAAACAAATACTAATTTAAATAAAAACAAACACCTAATGTAAATAAACATTTAAATCGTTTTTCTATTTTATCAAATAAATTAAATATGCAAAAAAAGAATAATCTCGAAATGAATACATTTAAAAATCTAAAATATTTCTCTGATAGATGGCTAAA